ATGGACGAGGAGGACGGCGACCTGGACCTCGAGGAGTGGGAGGCCCTGGACGATGGGACGTTTCACCAGGTGCGGGCTGGCGCCGAACCGGATGAGCTGCTGAGAGAGTCAATACAGGGGCTTGGCCTGTGCGAGAAAGGCGCCTACTTTGGCGGCGCCGGGGGTGGCGGCGCCGGCGGCAGCGCTGGCGGCGGGGGCCGCAGTGGCAGCAGCGGCAGCGCTGGTGGCGGTCCCACGGCAGCCTGCGCCGGCGAGACGGCGATGGACGAGATTTGCGGCGAATGCGAGGCAGAGGGAGGCGCTAGGAGCACGGCGGCGGCGGTCCGTCCGACACCAGCGGCATCGAACAGCAGGCGCCGGCCCGCGGCGGCTGCCCAGTGGAGCGCCTTTAGTGTTTCGGGTGAGCCGCAGTGGGCAGGGCTGGACGAGAGTGAGCTGCGCGCCGCCAAGCGCAGGCGCGGACAGTGTGGAGCTTTCTTGAACGAGGCGATCTTGCGCGCTGGGGTGCGGTGACTGACACGTAAGACGTAGAGTATGCTGCCTGTCTTGTCCGTTCTCGACTGTTCGTCTGGTGTTTTGCTTTTATTTTCCTTTTGTGTTGTGAACCAAGAACCGCAGCGAGAGGGGAGAGGCTACCAGCCTAAACCCCCGGTTTTTGCCAATTGTGGTTCGCGAAGAGCCAGAGGCGGTTGCTTCCCCCAGGATTAGTCTTCTCTACTGAGGGGACGAACTAAGGGCGGCTGGGCGGGGCTGCGGCCGGAGCTAGCATGGCTCGTCATGACGAGGCGACGAAGACTCGGAGAGGCATCGCGGTATTTTTTTCGACGTCTGTGAAGGTAGTCTCCCCAAATCCCCAGGGCCTGCAGGGCTCGCACCTCAACCTCTCATAGACCAGCGCGCAGCGCCATAGGAGGTATTTCCTTCTCATAAGTATCAAGGTGTGTGAAGCCCGAGGCACCCAGTTTCGTCCTCGGACATCTTGGCGGCGGCCGTCGCCGATTTTGCCGGCCTCGTCCTCAAAGTCAAAGTCTCTACCCGAGCCCATCAAGCGAGGCCCACGCGCAATGCACACACAGGCTGTATCATCGCTTGAGCTGTGGGAGCGCGCGTCGTCGGTGTTCCCTTTTTGCGAGCTCAGGGCGCTCCTCATAATTGAGATCACGTTTCACCTGCTCATCGTTCTGCTGGGCTGCCTTATATACGGATTCGGATTCGCGATTTTCGTCGTCAGTTCGCTGTGGTGGTTCGTCGGCGTCGGAGTCCTCAGCATGATTGGCGCTTCGCTGTGGTGTTGCAAGTGCTGCGCTCCAACCACGACTCTCTGCGCCGCCTTCTCCTTGGTCCTGACAGCTGGCATCCTCTCGTTGGTGCTTTACGCCTACTTTTTGGTCGCGTTCGTCATCCTCGCCGCCTTTTCAGAAGGTTTCGCAGTCAGCAGCCGGTCTTTCGACGTCACTGAGGAACCGTTCCCGACGCCAATCAGCCTTCTTACAAATGGCACCGTGGAAAGGATGCTCGAAGGCTACATAATCGCATTATATCCGTCCAGCACGGCGGGAACATACTCGACCCTCCCCATCGCCGGGGGCACTGCGGGCGGTGCACTGGCACGGGAAATGACGTATGACGACTCCGAATCCGCAGAGTTGGGCAGGTTTGGGCCGCTCATGGACGTTACCTGGCTGCATGGCGTCTACATCTACGGGGGTTGCATCGTGGGCCTCCCAGTGCTCGCCATTCTGAGGATTGTCCTCTCGAGCATGGCTTTCTGTAAAAAGAACTCTGTGGTTGCGGCCACCACCATTGGCGGCGGGGATGGCGGCGGCGGCGGCACCAGCGGCGCTGTCTCCGTGAAGAGGGGCACTGTCGTCTCGGTGGTGCCGCAGCCAAGCGCCGCAAGCGCCACGAGCGTGGCAGAGGGCAGCGTCAGGGGGGCGAGCAAGGCGTCGAGCACTATCGCCGTGTCCCAGGTGTGAGGTATCATCGTTCGCCGTCTCTGGCCAAATCCGCGGGGCCGCGACAGGGGCCATGTCTGCGACAGGCCCGGCGGTGAATTGCGCGCTGGATGGGTGACTTGCGGTCATGTCTGTGCATGTGAGCTCATGTGGAGGGTATGGACATACAAAAGAAGGAAACAGCGGCGTCCCGGCCCAAGAGGGAGGGAATCCGGGAGCACGATCTAACGCGAACAAAACGCGTAACGGTAGTGGTGTTTGTCGGATTCGGGCCGAGAACCGTCAACCGTTAGCGCGGAATGGCTGGGGCGTGGGGCGGCCACCCCCTACCCCCCTACATCGACCCTACTTTGCTGGAGGAAGATGGTTGCCCAGGTTACTCAGCGGACACACGATCCCGGCGTGAACACGACGAACTATACCCTTCTCCGATGCGAATGCGGCACGCGCCACAGCGCGGCACGTGCCGCATTCTTTGTCTGAAGTTAAAACTCGAATCAGAGCGGTATCGGCGTTGTCCTGAGTTTTCTCCCCCGGACCGCCCGTCCGGCACAGCTCCGGGACGCACGCCGGCGAAGCACCATCAAGCTGCTGTACGGCCCCGGCACCGCCTCCCCTGGCTTAGCTAGACTGAGAGATATTGTGCACATGGTCAGCTTCTACAATATATACACTGACACTTTACCTCCCAGAGCTCGTCCCGGTCCGCCACGGCCATCCTCGGCCTCCGAAGGGCCCCCGGCCCGGCCGCGGCGCGGTGCGGCGGAGTCAATCAACAGGCGCCTGCGGCGCCGTGGTCAGGAGGTGTTAGTTCACAGCCTTGTTATTGACAAGAAAATACGTCCTATGGCGCTGCGCGCTGGTCTGTGAGAGGTTGAGGTGCGAGCCCTGGAGGCCCTGGGGATGGGGGGAGACTACCCGCGGGCCTAGAAGGCCCGCGCGCAGAGGGGTGGGACATTGAGATTGAATGAACATTCTGTTGAGCGTGTGGACCACTTGTCCGATGTCCAGCGTCGGCGCGTAGCTCGGGTCGTACAAGTACTCACCGGTCTCATCACTCATCAGCGGCATTGGCCATTGCCATGGTAGGCCAGGCCCACCTTATCTTGCAGCGCAGCGCGAGCCTGCATGTGCTCGCGCAACCCCACCTTGGAAGGCAACTCGCCGCGAGGCCAGCCCTCCTCTTCCCAGAATATACCTACAACAGAAAAACACACCCCTCCTCTTCACACCTTGTAGCCGGGTATTTTGTACCCGGGTATTCATTGCAGAGCACAGTAAGGCACGCCGCATTTCGGCTGTCGTCATTTCCGGCTGCCATGGGAGGCTGCTCGTCGGTCCCGCAGCCGCCGGGCGCGCCGCCCTCCGCGCCCCCTCCCGAGGTCTCGTTCGAGCCGCACGCGCCCGAGTTTGACGCGCTCGTCGAGGGCGGCGCCCGCCTGCTCGCCTCGTCGGACGAGGAGCTCTTCCACGAGGCGGGCGTGTGGATCCCGTCGACAGCGGAGTGGCTCGTCACGTCCAACCGGCTCAAGGCCGGCACGCCCGAGACGCACGTCAAGATCCTGGCGGTGCACTTCCCGTCCGGCGCCGTGCGCCGGCTCGAGGCGCTCGAGGCCCAAATCGTCATGGGCAACGGCGGCACGACGGACTTCGCCGGCGGCGCCTACCTGTGCTCGCAGGGCCTCGGCGAGCACACCGGCTCGCTGTGGCACGTGGACGCGAGCCTGTCCGTCGGCACGCGCGTCGGCCCGCCCGAGGGCCTCGTGCTCAATTCGCTCAACGACGTCGTGCTCCACCGCGCCTCCGGCCGCCTCCTCTTCACCGACCCGGCGTACGGCATCGAGGTCCAGGGCTTCCGCACGACCTTCCACGCCTCCAAGGCCGTGTGGGGCGTGCCCGCGGACCCCGAGAAGGCGGCGCACGCGGCGAGCTGGGCCATGCTCAACGAGTGCCACGACCAGCCCAACGGCGTGCTGCTGTCGCCCGACGAGCGCATCGCGTACGTCACCGACGTGTGGAGCGGCAAGTGGCACAACAACCCCGACGTCCAGCTGCGCAACGCCGCGGGCGCAGGCGGCGAGCAGAGCAGGATCCACGCCTTCGACGTCGTGCACGACGCCGCGCAGGGCACGGTCGCGCTGGCCAACGCGCGCACCTTCGTCGACCTTCGCGAGGAGCCTAAGCCTGCCGAGGGCTACCCCGACGGGATCAAGTGCGACGAGCACGGCAACGTGTACGCCGGCTGCGGGGGGGGGGCGTGCGCGTGTACGCGCCGTCGGGCCACTTCCTCGGGCGCATCGCCGTCAAGGGCGGCGTCGCGAACCTGTGCTTTGGCGGCGACGACGGGCGCACGCTGCTCATGCTCAACGAGACGAAGGCCTTCACCGTGCGGATGAAGGTCCGCGGGGCGCTCGAGGTGACGCAGAGCCTGAAAAGAGTACAGAGTAAAGAGTAAATTGCACGCAGAGCCTGTGAGCCGCCTATCGCGTCGCGGCCGTCTCACTTCTTCCACGCCTCGCTCGCCGAGGAGAGGGCATCCGCTTGATGTGGGCGCAAGTGAGCGCGGCTTCGAGCTGCCGGCGCAGCCGTGGCAGGGAGCAGAGGGCGAGAGCAGAGCCCGCGTGCGGTGGCTGTGCTTCGCTGCGCTGCTGCGCGCATCCAACCCGCTGGCGAGGGCGGCGGGAGGCGCTCAGCATAGCCTCTTCATTGACGGCGAGGGGCGGCTGTCGTCGTGCGGCCAGGGCTCCTTGGGCACGCCGAGGGCGTGGCGCGGCTCAACTACCCTCAACACGCCGATCCGGCTCCCGTCGACGCTTGGCGGCGAGCGCGCCGTGAGCGTGTCTGCTGAAGATGACCACAGCCTCGCCATGACCGCCGACGGAGCCGTCTGGAGCTGGGGCGATGGAGAAGAAGGCCGGTTGGGCCACGGCAACGAGCGGGAGGCGACCACAACCTCGCCATCTCCGCCGACGGAGCCATTTGGAGCTGGGGCGGGGGAGACCACGGCAAGTTGGGCCACGGTGACTGGCAGATCCAGTGGCAGCCGAAGAAGGTCGAGGCCTTGGCTGGGCGGCGCGTCGTCCGGCTGTGTCGGCTGGACCCCGCCACAGCCTCGCAATCACCGCTGACGGTGCCGTCTGGAGCTGGGGTGAAGGAGGCTCTGGCCATCTGGGCCACGGCAACTTGCAATGCCAGCTGCTGCCCAAGAAGGTCGAGACCTTTGCTGGCCAGCGCGTCGTCGCTACGTCGCCGGGATGCGACCACAGCCTCGCCCTCACCGCCGACGGCGCCGTCTGGAGCTGGGGCGAAGGAGGCTGGGGCGCGCTGGGCCACGGCGACCGGGAGCACCAGTGGCAGTCCGAAGAAGATCGAAGCGTTGGCTGGCCAGCGCGTTATCGCTGTGTCTGCTGGGTACAGCCACAGCCTCGCCACGACTGCTGACGGGGCCGTGTGGAGCTGGGGCGCGCGGTGGAGACGACGGCCGGTTGGGCCACGGCGACGAGCAGGGCCAGTGGCTGCCGGAGCTGGTCGCGGCCTTGGCTGGGCGGCGCGTCATCGCTGTGTCGGCTGGACCCCGCCACACCCTCGCCAACACCGCCGACGGCGCCGTCTGGAGCTGGGGCTATGGATACCACGGCCAGCTAGGCCACGGCGACCGGGAGCGCCAGTTCGAGCCCAAGAAGATCGAGGTGTGGGCGAGCCGGCCGCCCACGCCTGCTTCCTCTGACGGAGAGGACAGCAGCGACGGAGAGGACAGCGATTCGGACGAGTAGGAAGCAAGGCGGGCAGCGGGAGGGCGAGTAGCCATTGAAGCTCAAGCAGGGCCCGGGGAGTACCTAGGTAGCGTTTTGAGTGGCAGTGCCAGTGGGCGCGAGCGTTCCGTGACCGTACGGTGTGTCAGCACTGCGGGCGATGTGTGAGTATTTGGCCGTACAGGGCTACAGCGTACTAAGACGAGTTTTTTTTTCAAAAACACGTCATGTCCTTTCGCCTGCGGAAACGACCACGAATAGCACGGCAGCGCAGGGCTGCCCCGGGAGAGACGCCCTCTCTCGCTAAATAAAAAGATAATCACGACATGGATACATGTAGGAGCGGTGCCTGGCTTCCAAAGAAAGAAGAAAACAGACAACCCAAGGGAGCGCCTCCCCAAATTCTTTTGCCTAGTGTAGAAAGAAAGAAAGAAAACAGACAGGCCAAGGGAGGGAGGGAGGGATGGGAGGAAGGACGGCACGCCGCCACCACACAGGGATTTTAAGGAGAGGAGTGTGGTGCTAGCCGTCGCCCACCCTAACCCTTGGTCGTCTGCCTCTTTCTATCTCCCTTCGCAGTCCCTCGCCGATTCTCGCTGCAACCTTCATGCCACCTCGCGGTCGTCCCACTCTCGTCGTCGTTCGTTCGTTCTCCCTCCTGTCGTTTCCTCCTCTGTCGCGTCGCTCCCCGTGGCGAATTGTAAAATTCTTTTGTCGACCACACAACGCGACACTCGGGCTGGCGAGTAGAGGCCACCCAGGGTACCCTCTCCGAGGACTCGCCGGGCTCTGTGCTCCAAGACAGTGTGTGCCTCGCCAGACACTCGGGATCACTCGGCTCGCTGTCCACCGAGGCTGCTGTCGCCGCCTGCTCGGTGGACATGTGCGAATACGAGCAGGACGGAGAGGTCGCACAGCGAATCGCGGCTGTCATCCCGTACTATCCGTACAAGGGCATCCCGCGCTTCTGTGCGCCGCACCTCACCTGGCGCTTTGACGCCTGGCCCTGATCGCGCAACTGCTCGCTTTGACGCCTGGCCCTGACCGCAGACGATATCAACGGCTTTTGCGCGCGGCCCGACATTTTCCAGGAGGTGGTCGATGTCTTTGCCGCGCGCTACCGCGGCAAGATCGACTCGATTGGCGGCTTCGACGCCCGCGGTTTTGTCCTCGGCCCGCCCATAGCCCTGGCCTTAAAGGTGGGCGTTGGCGGTCCCGCGATGCGTCCCGCCGTCAGAGGCTGAGCGGCATGTGCTACGCGCTGCGTTCCAGGTGCCCTTTTTCATGCTGCGCAAGCCGGGCAAGATGCCCAACGCCATCGGCTCGGGTGGGTATGCTGTGGAGTATGGCAAGCGGGATGGTATGTGCATTCCGCGCGGCCACCCGCTGGACAAGACAGACCCGAAGAACAAGTCGACCGTCGTCAAGCCGGGCGACCGGGTGCTGCTGGTGGATGACCTGGTACGAGCAAGCGCCTCGACCGTGCCTGTCGCTCGCCACGCCTCCCAACCTCCGCAACCTCTCGCGGTGCCAGGTTGCGACGGGTGGGACGCTCTCCTCGGGCGTGGAGCTGGTCCGCCGCGCCGCGGAGCCCGGGAGGCGCCGGAAGGCCGCACGTCGAAATGCCGCGACTGGCCCTTCCGCCGCAGGTGCGCGCGATGGGCGCCACCGTCGTCGAGTGCGCGTGCGTGGTCGAGCTCAAGATGTTCATCGACCCGCCTGCCGACTCGGGGCTGCCCTCGCGCAAGAAGAGTTGGGAGGAGAAGGGCATAGCGGACGTGCCGGTGTGGGGCCTCGTGTCAGAGGACATTCTCACGCTCGAGGGCGAGCTGCCGCCGGGCTACGTTGACGACGGCGAGGAGCACTAAAAACGACGGTGTCAATGCTGAATGCTCAATCGCGGCCCCGCCTGCATTCATAACGTCGTGGGGGGTCGTACCCCCCCACTCATTAGCATGCGTTCGGTGCACAATATTCGCTGTATGTCGGCGACCCAAAGCTCGGCGGCCGTCGCTCGCGCCGGCCGACTCCCTGGGCGCTGGGGACCGGGGGCCCATCTCACATCCGGATCCGCCATCTCGCGGGCGAATAGACTTTTAATTGAATAGAGGGGCCATGAGAGGGGCGGTCTCTCTCGACTTCAGAGAAAAGAGGCAGGAGCGAGAGAGAATATTCCACAACAAGAGGGGGTTCTCCTCACCAACCCTCTCCTTTCAAAAGGGGTGACCTCTTGTGCCGCTCGACTCGAGCCACCTCGAGCGAGGGACCGAGGGTGGGCCACGCACGGGCAAGGTGCCCAGCGCAGCACCCCGGCTCTCACACATCACAACAGGACGCGCTGCCGCATCCCCGCGAGGTCGTCCGTTGAGGTGGTGGAGGGGGCCCGAGATGGCCCGCTTTGGGGGCTGCCGCCAAAAGAGAGGCCCTGCCTCAGCCGCGACAGCCCGCCCGTCGCTGGCAGCTCGCGCAAGTCCGCCACCTGCGAGGAGGAGTGCTCCCCCAGCGCGCCGCCCTCGCCGTCCTCCGGGTCGCTCGACTCCAGCCCCTCCTGGCCGTCCACCGGGAACAAGAAGGTCTCCTCGTGCAGCAGCCGCTGGTGCGCGTACATCACGAACCAGCCCGCGGCGGTGGAGACGATCGACGCGACGACGACGAGGCCGATGCCAATCTCGAAGGCGGCGCCGAGCGAGATGGTGGTGTGCACGTGCGTGCGGGAGGTCTCGGGCACAAACTCGGAGAAGTAGCGGTCGATGAGCGAGGAGAGGAGCCAGACCTGCGACTCGAACTGGAACTCGATGGCGGCGCCGAGCTGGAAGATGGTGGCGCCAATCACGACGACGAGCACGTCCATGCCGGTGTAGCAGTACGCGACTTGGGCGAGCAGCCCGAAGTTGTGGCTCGTGTGCGGGTCCATCGGCACGAGCCAGATGATGAGGCAGAGGCTGAGCCAGACCACGGGCATCACGCCGCACAGGATGAGGAAGAGGTAGCGGTGCGCCTGCAGCACGGCGCCGCCGATCGCCGGCGCCGACTCGCCGAGCACGTCGCCCATCGAGAAGAAGGAGAAGGACTGGTGGGAGCTCTGCCCGGGCTGCGAGTCGATGATGTTGCCGACGAGCCCCTCGACCGAGATGGTGAAGGAGGTGGTGAAGAAGGCGACCAGCGTGAGGCCGATCGAGCCGAGCAGCCACCACTTGACCAGCTGCAGGTGCCGCGTCTTGAGCTTCAGCCGGTGCACGCGCAGCCCGCCCGCCGGCTCGTCGCCGCCAGCCTCGGCCACCAGCGTCCGTTGCACCGCCTCCGCCTGCCGCGCCGCGGGCGCCAGCGAGAGCCGCGCGAGCGATTGGCGCGGCGAGCCGCGCACATGGCCCTCGACGGTCCGCGAGCGCCGGAGCGAGGTCGGCGCGGGCTCCGTGCGAATCCGGCCGAGCGCGACCTCCTTCTCCGCCTCGTCGGGCTGGGGGGGCCGCCGGCCGAAGGGCGAGAAGGAGCGCAGCTGCGCGAGCAGCGGCGGGGACGCCTCCTCCGCCGGCGGCGCCGCGGACCTCGCCGACGCTTGCGCCGACGTCTGGCGCGCGAGGGTGGTTCGCTCGATCTTGGAGGTGAGCTGCGCGGTGTACTTGCGGTGCGACTCGAGGACAGAGACCTGGTGCCAGTGGTTGACAATGTTGGTCGCGATGAGCGAGAGCATCAGCGCGACGATGAAGAGCGAGACGAGCTCGAGCGGCGCCACCTCGGTCGCGAAGCCGACGAGCGGCGTCGGCGAGCCGCACAGGCCCGGCGGCAGCTCTTGGGCCGTCGGGACGTCGAAGTTGAGGTGGAAGCCCGCCATGAGCAGCTGGAGCAGCAGCACGTCGAAGAAGGACCACTTGCCAAAGGCGTCGAAGAAGAAGAGGAAGGCGCCGCGCCGGTCCGCGTGCAGCACGCGCGGCGGCGCCCAGAGGGCGAAGAGCGTGAGCGTCATCTTGACGTACGGCCAGGTGCCCGACATGCCGCCCACGAGGATCGCCAGCGGCGGCGAGCCCGACGACCAGATCTCGAGCACCGTGTCGGCCACGGTGATGTTGAAGCCGTTGATGACGGGCAGCGGGTCGCCGGCGACGGAGACGTGGATGAAGAGGTTGCCCAGCGCGCCGTTGCACTGCGAGTAGACAAACATGGCCATGATGGCGACGCAGACCGCCGACATGAGCAGCGACTGCCACAGCGGCTGCTCGCGCGCGAGCGAGAGGCCCGTGGAGACGTCGTCGTTGGCCGCGGCGCGCTCCCCCGGCCGGCACGCGCAGTGGTACCCGATGATGCTTCCCGAGATGAGCACCGCCGTGCCGTAGATGCCGAGCAGGATGCAAACCTTGACGAAAGTGTGGTCCTCCGGCGCCTCGGCCTCGCGCGGCGGGAGCGTGCCGGCGCACGCCTGGTGCGCCTTGACGAGGGTCCTGTTGACGAGGTCGTTGCCCAGGTCGAGCCCGTCGGGGAGCAGGGTCGACACCAGCCAGTACACCCACCCCGTCGGCACGGTTGCCGGGAGCGGCTGCCCCCGCGCGTGCACCTCGAGCTCGAGAAGCGCGTCGGACCAGTCGGCAATCTCGAGCCGCGTCGACGGCAGGAGCCGCGCGGCCGAGAGGGGGAGCGCGGCGCACGCGAGCGACGCGTTGGCAGCCTCGGGGCGCGGGAAGGGCTGCAGCAGCTCGACGTCGAGGTCGAGCTGCAGCCGCACCGCCGCGAGCGAGAGGGTGACGTTGTACTCGTGCCACTCGCACCCTTTGCCGCCGAAGCGGTCGCCGTTCGAGAAGCAGCCGAGCTGCACGCGCGCCACAAAGGAGATGCGCAGAGGCTTCTCGGCCGAGCCGAGCCCGATTGTGCTGCGCAGCGTGGTTGGCTCGGCGCAGTCAGCCGCGAGCAGCTTCAGCTCGGAGAGCTGGTCCAGGTTCTCCAGCCGCGGCTCCGACACCTCGATTGTGACGGGCCCGAGCCACGCGCCGTCGAGCGGGACGGAGACGGCGCCGTGCACCGACACGTCGCCCAGCCCGAGCGCCTCGAAGAGCGTGTTGACGAGCCGCGCCGTCAGCTCCGACTCTGCGAGCTGCACGAGCGGCGCGCGGCACCACTCGACGGGCGCGGGTGGCGGCGGCGGCGTCGGGGGTGGCTCGCAATCCCCGGTGAGCCAGTCGAACGCGGACGGCAGCAGCCCGTTCACCATGTTGAGCAGCGGACCGCTCGTGAGGGCGGCGATGGCGTCGGGCGAGACGTAGTTTGCGTCGAGAAAGTCGATCGCGTCCGAGACGAGGCCGTACAGGCGCGCCTCGATCTCCGGCCGGTAGATCTCGTAGAGCGGGTCCTCTCCTGCGGCGGGGGGCGGGCCGGGGTGGGGCCCTCGCGCGCGCGGGGTCGCAGAGGGCGCTCGCCCCGCTCACCGAGTCGGATCACGTCGGGCGAGAGGCTCAGCAGGAGCTGCCGCAGCGAGGCGACGCGCAGCGGGCGGAGCAGGCAGGCGGGCGTGAGGTAGAGCCAGGGCGTGGCGAAGAGCTCGTCGGTCGAGAGGGGCGCGAAAGCGATGGCCGAGGCGGAGAGGTTGGAGAGGGAGAGGGAGAGCTTGAGCTGCTGCGCGAGCGGCGCGCTCTTCGCGTGGTAGAGCAGCGAGTCGGGGCCGGCCTCTGGCAGGGCGATGGAGAGGTTGAAGCGGAGCTCGACGGTGAGCTCGCGAAAGCCGAGCCCAAACTCGAGCGAGTACGGCTCGGTGCTGCGGCCGCGCGGCTTGGCGAGCGCGAGCTGGTTCAGGGTGTGGAGCCCGCCCAGCTCGAGGTAGGCGGGGGCGAGCCGGAGCGACGCGCCGACGACCGGGTCCGTGAGGGTCGGGATGCGCTGCGCGAGGTCGATCTCCCAGAGGGGGAGGCGCAGCTGGCCCTTGCCGTGCTCACCGAGGAGGTGGCCCGCCTACAGCCCAGAGCTCGCGCCTCAGGGCGGGAAGGCCCTGGCCCTCGCAGGCGCGGCGCCCGCCGTCACGGCCGCGGCCTCTTGCAGCGAGAAGCCGCCCAGGCCGCGCTCCGAGTTGAGAGTCACGAGCAGGCCGCCGGCGACGTCGCGCCAGACGAGCGTGTCGCCGCGCGGGTAGGGCGAGGGCGGCTCGGGGAGGGGCGGCGAGAGGATGAAGTCGCTGCCGTCGCCACCGAGTTGCTTCGGCCCCATTTGCTGGCGGACCCACTCGCAAAAGAGCTCGCTCTCGCTGACGGCCGACTCGGCGACGGCGGTCGAGACTTGCTCGAGGAGGACCTGTTGTCAAGAGGGTGCGGCTGTCGAGAGGGCGCGGGCTCGCCGTGGCCGGCGCGGGCGGGCAGACACGTCGTGCAGCAGCGAGAGGATGAGTGCGATGAAGGGCTGCAGGTCCGTCTCGAGCGAGAAGCCGAGGCTCGTCTCGCGCCACACCGAGAGAGAGAGCCCGTGCGGCGGCAGCTCGAGACCGAAGTGCGGCACGCGCAGCGGCGGAGGGTACGCGGCCGTACCGTCGACGACGAGGCGGACCGACAGCGCGGCACCCTGCGGCGCACCGCCAAGCCGGCGACGGTGAGAGGACTAAGCCACGCCCTTTGGGGGAGGGCGAGCGGAGGGCGGCGGCCGCGCGCCTCAGCCTTGAGGTGCGCGCCGATCACGGGTGCGAGCGCGAGGTGGTGCACCTGGGGAGGGGGAGGGGGCCTGCGTCGCGGCGGGGGCGCGAGGATAGAGCACGGGGCACGTCGCGAGGCCGGAGCCTTGTCAAAGTCGGCGCGCGTCACGGTGAAGGAGGGAGCGCCTCCCGGCAGCGGCGCCGAGGGTTGTGAGCGGCACGTGCTGACCAGCCCGCCCAGTACCGCGCAGTCCGAGGACGACACCTACGTTGGAAGGGTCGGCGCGTCGGGCCGCTACCGCGCGAGGCGGATGCCGCGCCGAGGGGCGGCGCCTCAAAGCTGTCCAGATGCACGCGAAAGCCGATCCCATCGAGCGCGGCGGCGAACCCAGGGGGAAGCGAAGCGTTGCCGGTGCGGTGGTGGGCGGAGTGCACGTCCTGCACGCTGAGGCCAGACACCATCAGGCCCTCTATCCGCAGAGAGAGCACGGTCGACGGGTCGTCAGCGGGAGAGATGCGAAGGCCGATGTGAGGAAGCTGCCCGACCACGCCACACAGCCAGCGTGGCAGGCCTGGCTCGAGCAGCGAACAGGCCGGAGGGTCCTCGAAGCCACCATTTTGATACTACTTTAGTACATCCTCCGAATCGGTGGAGCCTCCTTCGTCTCGCGATGAGGGATTCCACGCGGCGCCAAAGTCTGGGAAATTGGTTTGACCGAAGAGGCCTCCGCCACGCGGTGTCGCCAACGAAAATGGGCGCAGCGAGAGCCCGTCGAGCCCGTTCTGTCCGAGCGCGGCGAGGAAGCACAACACCATTGTTCTTGGCTAGGATCCTTTCCCGGGGGCTAGTGAACCAGCGCGAGTGACTTGCCAGAGGAGAAGAAACGCAGGCTTCGCGCGAGAGGCGGTTTCACAGCCGTCCTAAGAACGACGAGAAGGGGGCGACCGCGAGGTGGCATGAAGGTCGCAGCGAGAATCTGCGAGAGACTGCGAAGAGAGATAGGAAGAGGCGGACGCCCAAGGGTGGGCGAGGGCTAGCGCATCACACCCCTCTCCTTAAAATCCCTGTGTGGTGGCGGCGTGCCGTCCTCCCATCCCTCCCTTGGGTTGTCCGTTTTCTTTCTTTCTTTCTTTCACAGCCGTCCTCCCATCCCTCCCTTGGGTTGTCTGTTTTCTTTCTTTCTTTCTTTTCGGTTACTGGACCGTCACGTGTTCAACGACGTTGAACAGTGTTCAACCACGGCGCTGTTCACAGCGCGCGCGGACGGCCGTTCTGCGAGTCCAGCTCCGCTGGACTTTTGTAAAGCATGCTTGTGGCAAGTTATAGACGCTAGTATTGACCTCAGGGACCCAAACCCGAATTAATAATTAAGGCTCAAAGTATGGTTGAACAACCGTTGAACAAACACGTTGAACAACGATATCCGACTAGTGCGACCGCTAGACGGCGGTCTCCGCCGGCCCCAAGGCTGCCCAGCCCCAGTACCACACCGGCCACGTGCACCGTAGCTCTGGAGTTGGTCAGTGAGGCCCTAGACGGGCTACAGAACCATGCGCGCGCCGGCCGGATAGGCTGCGCGCAGGGGCCACGCCGCCTCGATTTCGCATCTCCGCTCCGCGGCCGACTGAGGGGCCAGCTCGCCCGGCGACAAGCCCAGCCATCGCCCAGCGCCCCGTATCGACGGAGGGCACGCAAAAAACCCGCACCTACGACTCAGGGTGAGCCCGTGAGGGCGTCGGTGTCGGCCGCGGGCGGGCTGCGAGGAGGGCGCAGGTGGGAGCATGGGAGATGCACCACCGCTCGACGAAGACGCGCCCGACGAAGCCCTGCTTGCGGAGGATGGTCGATCCCCACCTACTAGCGTCGGGCATGTGCGAAAAAGAGCGCAAATCGGAGCTCAACTCGCGCGCGGCTGGGAAAGGGGTGGGCACCCCTCCGAAGGCGCCTCGCGAGGAGCTGCTGCTGCCTCCAAACGCGCTCGGGCAGCACGTCGGCGCGGCCTGCGGGGTGGGTTGAGGTGAAACTAGGCTTGCTGGCACGCGCATCCCGCACCACCCCCACGCCCGCGCGCACCATGCCGCCATCCCACCTCACAGCCAAGCGCCATCGCCGTCGGACGCGGCGACGCCGAGCGGTGGCCTCGCAGACGACGAGCGCGATGAGGCCGCCGCGCCGCCGGGGTGGCCGGCGCGTGCCAGCCGCTGGCCCGTCCAGCGTGGCGGGACCGGCTCGCCCATCCTGGCCGGCGCGCTTGCCGACGCGAGAAGATCGCGCGAGAGGGCAAAATGTGGCAAAATCGCCCTGTTTGCCAATCCTTCACGGCGACTTCACGTCGGAACGAGTCGGATCGACGACTCCCCGCCTGCACCAGCGTGTGCGCCTTGCAATTCTATACAGAATCGACACGTGGTACGTCTTCTGAATCGCTCGTGGAGAGGAGTTACGGCCATTCCTAAGTAGTGTTCAACGACGTTGAACAATGTTCAACGTCGTTGAACACGGTCCAGTAACCGTTTTCACAGTCGAAGGGTCGGAACCCCCGAACAAGCTACCACGCGCCTTCTCGGACAGGTCGGGCTGTCGGGCACTGTCAGGCACTGTCAGGTGCCTCTGTCAGACCAGCTGTCAGGTGCTGTCAGTGCTGTCAGGTGCTGTCGGGTGCGTGCCTGACAGGCGAGGTGATCTGTAGCTGTCGGGTGCTGTCGGAGCTGTCGGGTGTTGCTGTCAGACGCTGTCGGAGCTGTCAGAGCTGTCAGGCTGCTGCTGCTGTTAGACGTTGGGCTGTTGCTGTCAGGTGCTGTCAGGTGGTGCTGTCGGGGTGCTGTCAGGCTCTGACACACACCAGCCACACTTATGACACTATCAAGAGGGCGCTGACTATCAAGGGGGTGCTGACGCCGATGACGCCGGCGGCTACGCAGCTCCCCCCCCTCCTACACGGCGTGATCACGCCGGCGGCGGCGGCCGCCTGGGGAGCGCAGATGGCGGCGCAGAGGCACAGGCGGCGGCGGCGGCACAGACGGCGGCGGCCACCCCCACCCAGACGCCGTAGGCATGTGACTGTAGGGCCCCAGAAGGCTAGCTGGTAGCTTCATTTGTAGTAGCACAGCCGCCGGTGCTAGAGAGGGGTCCGCAGAGGTGGGGCGGGAGGGTTGAAAGAGAGACCATGACCATCCCATGACTACATGGACATGGACCACACTCACATGTCTTTGCATGTAATTTTGTTATACCCTCATGGGGCACAAGAAAGAGGCTCTACGGGGTCTGTGTACGGTCTGTGCTGCTGTCAGACTGTCAGCGCTGCTGTCAGGCCACTGTGTGCTGTCGGGCTGTCAGGCAGCTGTCAGGCTGTCACGTTAGGGCCTGACAGCGACGGGTCACCTCGCCTGTCAGGCTCTGCTGTCAGGCTGTCAGATACGTGCTGTCAGACTGTCAGAGAAAGTGCTGTCAGCGCTGTCAGGCTGTCGGGCACTGTCAGGCGCTGTCCGGGGTTTGCTGTCAGGCTGTCAGACCAGGGCTCAGACAAAGGCCCTCTCAATACGAAGAGAAAAGTTGGATCAGGCCTGTCAGACGCCTTGATGCTCTTTTTGAAGAAAACACCGGAAGACAGCACTTTGCGCTGGGGATTGGCGCTATGCCGAGGGAAGCTGCGCGGCCTGATCCACTAGAGTGGATAGGGCGGCACGCTGGAGGCGCTCCACCAGTGCACTGTCGACCGTGGAGCGACTTCGATGTGCAACTGCGCGGAACCCGTAACGACCAGATGCCGGTGGGCGGGCGCACGCAGATCGCGATTGACCTCGCTGATCTGGATGCATGCGCGCCGCTTGAGACATGGGCTAGCTCCCGGGAAACCGGGCCCACACAAGTAGGAAGTGGTTACTGAACGTGTGGGAGCAGTGTGCACAGTCCAGGGGTCCACCGTGTACACGGTGGACCCTTGTACGTGCCTGTCGGTGCTACTAGAATGTGGCACGGGCCTGTGAGATGTGCATGCACCCTCCGCTCCGGGGTGTGTGCACGCTGGACTCTGGGACCGGAGTCGGGCGGGCTGCCGTCCTCCCAGCCCTCCCTTGGGTTCTCCGTTTTCTTTCTTTCTTTTTCGGGCGGGTCAGACCTCATCGCAAACCCTGTCAGCAGTCCTCCTCCGGGAATGTATGTACTGAGTAAGAGCCACATACACTGAGAGAGAAAATGCTATGAGAGACGCGATCAAACCGATACCGGCATCTGTGTGACCTCGGCCCTTGCCGCCAAGAAAAATTACAGCTAACGGCGGGCGCTCACTGTAGTGCGGCGCACCCCCGCTGCACCGAGCCCGCTGGATCTCTTGCACAGATGTACCGGCGCTGGGCGGCGATTTTGTTCTTGCTGATCGAGTCGGGCCGCGCCTTCTCCTCGCCGCTCCAGAAAAGGCCGGTGCTCCTCTCGCGGGGGCGCTCGTGCGCGGAAGCTGGCCTGGCGTCGATCCCAAAGGGCGACGCTTCCTGTCGCACCGCCGCAGAGCTCCTGGCCAACTCGACTGGCACCAGTCTGACGTGGCGAAAGCAGCCTGGTGACGAGCCCCGCCCGCGCGAGTGTTCGATTCAGAACGCCGCTAGGTATGTGAGGCTGCACAGTGGCAGCGAACTAGCCGCTGTCTTCTCCGGGGACGTGCATTCGAAGCAAAAGTGCTCAGACAGGTTCAAGTGCGTCTGCCTGCGGCGGGGGAAGAGCGCCGAAACCTGCCTGGTGAAACCTTTGCCGTGGCCGCTCAATCTGACAACGGTCATGAACCACCTCCCAAGGACTCAGGCCAAGACGATCGTTGACGCCAGGAGCGGGCTCACTTGCAAAGACTTCCCCGTGCCCCAGATCCTAGAGGGCGAGCTGACTGGCCGGGCCCTCTCTCGTGGGCTGGACATCCTGACAGACGCCATGTCCCTTGACGAAGCCACTAAAGATGCCACTTTCGTGCTGTTCCTTGCCCGCCCAAGGTCTGGACACACTCTTATCGGCTCGCTCATTGACGCGCACCCAAATGCGCTCGTGGCAAACGAGCGAGACATCTTCGAATTCTTCCGCGTACTTCGCAAGAAGGCGGCATCGGAGCCATCGACCCCGAAGAGGCGTGCAGATTGGATGCGAAAGCAGCTCTTCATGCGGCTAGTCGACAACTCGGTATCATGCGGCATACTCGGGCGTTATCAGACCGGCCACCTGTATTCAGTGCCAGGCGCATGGTCAGGTCAGTGGCGGTGTCGCATCGACGTGATCGGAGACAAGAAGGGTGCACATCTGGTGAACTTTTTCGCGTCCAGAGATTCTGACCTCAGGGAGTTTGAGGAGTTTGTGGACGCGCTCCAGGTGAAGGCGCTCAAAGTCGTTACTGTTCTGATCGCAGCACTTCGTGTTGGCCAGTCGAGAAATTGAGAGTGTGACTAGGAGGGTGGGACGCTGGGGATTCTCAAAGGTATACCCTTGGAATGGCCGGATCCAGCCTTAAAAGTACGAGATCGCGCGCGCTTCGCGCGCTGCACCGCCTATTCTCCGCGGCTGTGTGACGACGCGCGCCGTGTGCCAGCAGAGTTGGGCGCGCGCGGCGCGACGGCGCCCGCGAGGGAAGGCGCGGGTGCAGCGGCCGCCGGCGGCCGTACCGCCTGCCAGCCGGCGCAGCAGCGGCCAGCGCAGCGGCCGCCGGCGCAGCAGCCAGATCAGCCGGTGCGCGCCTTGCGAGGCGAGTACTGCCGCCCGGCAGCCTTGAGGCGGCCGGGCGGCAGTACTCGTTCGAATTTTGCGAGCCGTGCGCGCGCCGAGGCGCCCGCGGCGCGCGCCCGCCCGGCTGCCAGTAGGAGGCGGCGCAATATGGCCTATAGTACAGCCCTTGAGGAGGAGGAAGAGGCTGGCTGGCAGTGCTGTATGCCGCCGAGGGGCAGTTTTGGGGTGCTGAGTCACGCCCAGGGGGCTGCAGAACGCGTCCGCAGCCGGGACAACCCGCCCCCCCAGCCGAGGCCGGTCGAAGCCCACTTGGGCACAGCCATGAGGAGTCCTCTTGGTGCTCCTGGCGCCCGTTGGAATGGCGAGCGCGCGCCGATGGGGGGGGGGGGGGTCTTGCTTGCTCCACACCGAGCGCCATCGGTCCAGACCGGCGTGCCCAATGAGGGGTGGCCTGCACAAGGTCTGAGCCGCGGCCGCTCGGCGCCAAGTGCAGTGTCACGCTCGCACGCGAGCGACTCACAATGGGGAACCCTCGTTTCCTATGTACTCGGTCCCCCAACGGAAGAGGCCTCGCTCCTATTGGAACTGGCCAACATCAGATTTGCCTCGTGCGTCCCTTTTTGAGTCGAAAGCTATTTTCTTTTGGGTCCTGTGGGCACCCTAGCAAGGCGAGAGGCGCGAGCATTCAGACGCGCTGCATGCGCCATGACTCGCGCCAGCGCGTGCGGGAGCTCCTGCTGAGCGTTGAGTCCAGGCGAGTTGTGCTGGCCACGATCGCTACGCCAAGCCGAGCTGACGCGCCGAGGCGCCGGCCAGTCGCAGCCGTGAGGCATGGTCCCGCGGCGGATGTAGAGCTCTACAGCTCTACAGCGCTCTCCAGCTCTATCTACAGCTCTACAGCGCTCTACACTCTACATCCTCTACATACACCCTCCCTCAGGGGTGCAGGCCGAAACCACAGCAGCTCTGGTCGTGCTCTCTCTACACTACCCTCTATACACCCTCCCTCAGCCGCTGGGTAAGGCGGCTGCCACGCATGGCACATGGCAGGCAAAGCCCGCCCAGCACTTGGAGCACTTGGAGTGCAGTCAGTAACCTCACAACGAAAAAGAGAATTTACAATGAAAAAGAGAAACGGATTCGCGTGACTCTGCCACCCAGCATCTCTCCAGCCAACGTGAGGTCCTGGCACCTGCAGCGCCGTCGAAGTGCGCCTTTTTGTCATGGCAAAAAGGCAGGAACTGGGAAGCGCTCCTCCCGATTCCTTTCCTCAAGCGACGCCCAGGCACCGTCACGCCACGGTGGCGCTGGTGTCTCTGACTTTCGTTGCCGCCGGAATCGTCCTATTTCGCCACGCGAACGCCGCCCCCAAGTTGCTCGGAGCCCAAGCGGGAGCCCCAGCGGTCGAGCCGACGTTCACACCGGCAATCCAGGCCAACCCTCACGCCACGTTCCACACGAGCATGGGGACCTTTGTCGCAGAGATCTTTGTTGACTCGATGCCGCTCACCGCCTCGAACTTTCTCGATCTCGCGCGGAACGGCTTCTACGACGGCCTGCACTTCCATCGTGTAATTCCCGGCTTCATGGTGCCCTCCGCAGCATACACATAAATGTGGCCACATCCGCCGCCCATTCGCCTGAGCCGCTTCCTAAGCCCTCCGCCTTCATCGCCTCAGGACCAGTTTGGCTGCCCCTTCACGAGAGACCCGCTGAGCCCGCGCGCTGGGACGGGCGGTCCACCGCCCGGCTCCACCTTTGTCAACCTCGCCACCGGCGAGAGCATCCGGCGCAGCGCCGACGGGACCATCCCCGACGAGCACACCGCGCGGATCTCGAACGCGCCCGGCACCCTCTCGATGGCCAACACCGGGCAGAAGGACTCGGGCGGCTCGCAGTTCTTCATCAACGTGGGCCAGAACGCCTTTCTCGACTGGTTCAGCCCGGGCCGCTCCCAACACCCGGTCTTCGGGAAAGTGGTCCAGGGGTACGATTTGATCGTCAGGATCTCAAAGGCGCGCGCGTCCGCGCGCCGCCGTGCACCACCAAACGTCCTGGCTCGCACGGCGAAGTCCGAAGATGCTGATCCGGCCGACGCGCACTGACAGGTGCCGACGCAAGCCGACCGGCCACTCGAGCCCATCACGGTGCAGTCCATTGTCATCACGTGAAGGAAGGCTGGTCCCCCGTCACACAACACTCTCTTCCTCGCTTCACTTGCGGGGGGGGGAGAGCTCACACCACAGCCCCACGCGCCCGGCCCCACACCCGCGGCGGCGGCCACCGTCGCCTCCAGCCGTGTCTGATGTCCGCTCTTATCTTCCAGGTCTCCTTGTGTTAAGGAGATCGGCGGGATTGCACTTTTTAGCAGCTTTTTAGGCGGGTTGGATCGGCGGTTGCACGCACTTTTTGGCGGGTGCGTGTATCGCATCTCGCGTGGTCTCTCTCAGACTTCCAGTCGTCCCGGCTCAAAAGAGGTGTGTCCACTGTCCTCAAGCTCGAGCTCTCTGTGCAGGAATCGATCGATGGAGGCATGCTGCGTGCACCGCACGCCTGGCACGTAGCCCTCCACTTTCCGGCGCACAGCGTCGGCAAACCCGAGCGTGTCCGCCTGCGCGCCGCAGGTGAAGACATCCACGGCCAACCAGCCGTGCTCCGAGTAGCAGTGGGCGGTGGCGTGCGACTCATCGAGCAGCACCGCCGCCGTGAACCCTGGCGGCGTCGTTCCGTCCTCTCCGAGCAACACTAGCTTGGAGTGGACAACGGTAGCGCCATGTGCGGCTGCTGCCGCCTCTAGCGTGGCGAGCGTCCACCTCCCCGCGGCAGCCGGCTCGACGGCAAAGCCCTCAAAGTCGAGCACGACGTGCGACCCGTGCGCCGCGAGCGCAGATCGCTTATTGAGCGTAATTCTGCTGGCCGACGGGGCAAGACTGATCACCGACAGCACGGCCACGGCTCCCGCCATCGCCACCGAGTGCGTCTCGATCCGCCCTCAGAGCGTCAAGCCATAAATAACGCACGCGCCCTCAGCGGAGCTGGGAATAGAAACCCGAGGAGTCACACAGTCCACCTGTGTGATGCACGCCCTGCGAGCGGGGCGGGGTGCGCACTGTCCCTCTGTGTTCGTGTGCGTCGCCCATCTCTCCCTGGAGATGACTGCTCTATTTATTTATTTATAATAGGACCGCCGCAAGCGGCGTGGCGTGGGGCGGTTGACAGGGGAGGTTGCCCCTGCCGCGGGTCAGGGCGGTTGACAGGGGCGGTTGCCCCACCCCCCTGCGCGCGGGCCTTCTAGGCCCGCGGGTATAGTCTCCCCCCATTCCCAGGGCCTCCAGGGCTCGCACCTCAACCTCTCACAGACCAGCGCACAGCGCCATAGGACGTATTTTCTTCTCAATAACAAGGCTGTGAACAGCAAACGGGACGATATAGCCGTTGGTCCTTGAAATGCACGCCCTGCGAGCGGGGCGGGGTGCGCGCTGTGCCTCTGTGTTCGTGCGTCGCCCATCTCTCCTGGAGATCGGAGACGTTTGTATTTATTTATTGAAATGTTTAATGTAAATGGTCTCGGTATCCCCTGCTACAACTCGGAGGGAAGAGAGTCTCTCTCTCTCTCAATCCAGCTCAATGATGAGGCTACGGCGCGCATAATGAAGAGAGAGGAACACATCGAGTGGCTGAGGAAGCTCTTCGCTGGGTGGAAGGAGGCCCGGCCAGCCTTGAGGGAGTCGCGGAGGAGGAGGGATAATGGAGGTAACGTGGGAACAGGCCAACAGCCAGTGGGACGAACGAGGGCCGCGACGGCGGCTCAAGCGGGAGGGAGCGGAGACGGTGGGCCGAGAGCGAAGTGGGTGAGACTGATGATGCTCCTTCGACTTAGGGAGCGGTTCAGATGCTGGGCGGGCTTCAGGCTGGTGCTCACGCGAACAGGAATCGACGCGATGTGCAAAGCATACAAGAAGGGGAGAGGGAAGAGGAGAGACGCCGGTGAGGACGAAGCAGAAACTAGCGCAGACGAGAGCAGGGCAGACCCGGGGACTGGGGAGCCGGAGCCGACGGCATCGGCCGCCGAGGGAACGTTGGGAAGAGGCACGAGGAGGGCGGCGACTTCGACCGACTATGGAGGACCCGTCGCCAGACGACGCAGGGCAGAAGACGGTGAGGCGGAGCAGACGCGCAGGGTGAGACGAGGGAGGGAGCAGGACTTTGCGGAGACGTCAGCAGGAGGATGTACGAAGAGATTAGGAGCAGCAGGGACCCGAGGGACCATGTGGAAGACGGCTAGTGCTAGTCCCCCATCGGGAGGACGACCCCGGCTAGTCGCCGACCACACCCACAAAGAACCCTGCACAAAGATCGCAAGGGCGGGGGCCTGTTCCTTTTTACCCATCTCACAGTAGAGAGGTGCCGTTTTTATTTATTTATTTCTCTCTCTCAACTCGGACAAGGACATTGCTCATTGGAAAAAGCCTACACCCCAATAATCGCATCCGCATAGAGCGCGCCGGCCAGGGCTGCCGCGGCGCCAACAACCAGGTGCGAGGCCACGAGCGCCAGCACCGAGCCCGTGGAGCGAACGACGCGCCCGCTCGGGCCGGACGACTTGCGCTGGGGCTGTGCCTCTCGAGGGGCCTTGGAGGCGGCACCACCGCCGCCACCACCGCCGTCGCCGTCGCCATCGCCGTCGCCTCCGCCGCCTCCTCCGTCTCCGCCGCCGCCCTCCTCCAGCGCTGAGATCCGCTCCTGCGCCTTGAGCAGCTCCTCCTCCGCTCGGAGCAGCTCCACCGAGCGGAGCAGCGCGAGCCGCTCCGCCGCCGCCAATCGCTCGCGGGCGCCGCCGCCGCCGGTCACCGTGCGAATCAGCGACGAGGCGGTGTCGGCCTCCGCGCTCGCGGCGCCGCGCGTCGCGCGGAGCAGGTGCTGGCAGTGCCGCGCGTCGGAGCCCCACGCATCGCGAAGGCTGTCGAGGTGCGTGCTCACCTGCGCGCCGCGGCAGTTCTGCGGCAGCAGCGCGTAGCGCACGATCACGCGCTCGGGCGCGCCCGCGGCTGTCAGCCGCAGCCGCACCTGCACCTGCTTGCCTGGAGGCAGCACGCCGTCCGACGGCGCCGCCTCGAGCTGCGTGTCGGTCGCCTGCACGCGGAAGCAGACGCACGACGCGCGGGAGAGGTTGGTGAGCGCGAGCGAGCCGGCGCCGGCGCCGTCGAACGCGACCGCGTCGTCGGGCACGCAGAGGAGCACCACCGCCGGCTCCTCGTCGAAGGACATCGTGGCGAAAAAAAGTACGGGTTTGTTCTTTCTTTCCTTTAGCACCTTCCTCCTCTCCTTAAAATCCCTGTGTGGTGGCGGCGTGCCGTCCTCCCATCCCTCCCTTGGCTTGTCTGTTTTCTTTCTTTCGGACGGCGTCGGCGTGGCGGCCGCGGGCGCTCGCGAGACGCGCCGCTCTGCGCTGGTTCGGTTCGTTCGACTCGTTGTGCCGCCGCCCGGCGGCCGCGGGTCCCAGAAGTGGTTGCGCGGGCCTCTTCCTTTCGGCCGCGGGACGGCGTCGGGCACGTCGTCGGTCGCAACAGCGGCGCGGCGAGCCGCGGCACGTCGTTGCTGGCGCTGGTGGTTTGAGGTCGGCATCGTCCAGAGCTCGGTCGACGAGTCTAGAGCTTCAGCTGGTCGGGTGCCATGTTTGTGCGGAAAGTGGCAAATATATCTCTTTGATGGGAATTCGGCGTATACGTACTGGACGGCCATGCTGTCACGCCTTGCGACAGCCTGTCGGCGCTGCTGACCGTGCCCTGCTGCACAATTGATCACCTGCATAGCTCGCGGCCTTAGTATCCAGCATTCAGTGACGACCTGATCGTACGGCCAGTAGGAAGGTGTCCTTCCAGCGCGTGCACGCTTCTGACGCAATGCGCGTCACAAACTGCCTCGGCGATTGGCTGCTGGCACTCTCGAGGCTATGCCTCCACAGCCTCGCGCGCATGCGCACAGTCAAGAGGGACCATGCACCTTCTCAGGACAGCGCCAGTGCTCTCTCTTGGACCGGCAAACGTGGTGGTCTCGTGTCACCGATGTGGGACCAGTGCGGCGTCGCGCGATCGACAGCTCTGCACTGCGCCTCACCACTGACCGGGAAGGCCGCCAAGTGGGTCAGCACCGGTCGCACATTGTGGCAGCAGTCAGCAGCGCATGTCTGATAGCTAGAGCAGCAGCGTCAGGGTCGCAGGGTCGGATCGTGTCAAGCCTCTCGCCCGGCCGGCCGCGTGCAGGCGTCGGCCTGTCTGCTGTCTGGAGTGATCTGTCGGCGGTCAGTACGACCGATCAGGTTGGAGTTTTCTGATGGTTGGAGGGTCTATCTGTATGTACTTCTCGATATCTCTCCGAATCTGCCCTCTACTTAACCGTACTTAATCGGGAAGTCGGTAGTATGAGCGAGTATGAGTCTGGCTGGTATGAGTGCCGGGGCCCCGTTTCCGCACTGCTGCCACGGTGCTGCGCGGCGCACGGTGCCTCCGGGGGCCCCGCCTCCCCCCAGAGCAGCGATCGAGGAGTGAGAGAAACGAGAACTTCGAGGCAGACGGCACACTGCATCGGCTCACAGCATGCTGCTCACGGCATCGGCTCACAGCAGGCTGCTCACGGCATCGGCTCACAGCTTGTACACTGCAACGACTCACCGCTTCGGCTCACTGCTTCGGCTCCACAGCACCGGCTCCACGGCATCGGCTCACACTCACAGCAATCAGCATCGTCTCGCGGCATCACGTCTCACGGCTTTGTCTCACGGCTCCCATCCTTGGCTCCCTCGTGCTGGTGCTCTCGAGATCGTGGTGCACTGCTCTTTGGCGGCAGTGCTCGACATGATCGAGGCGGTCCGCTCAGGGTCCGACGCGGTCATGAAAGTCCAGGGCTCAGGAGCGGGGCAATCCGCAACTTTGGGCGCCTTCCCAATCCTGGGGAAGGCGCTTGGGGAAGGCGCTTCAGACGTGCTTGGCAGTGTGAGAACGCTGCTCCGTGCAACGAATTTGTGCAAGGTCAGTCGTGAAATTTCCGTCAGAGCTCGCCTTTACTCACACTTTGCTCATGCTCCCGAACAAAAACGCCATGCTGAGTCCGTTTGGTTGCACGACACGCCGCGCAGGAGCGATGCCAGACAACGGCGACACACGAGTCGTGCTGTGCAACAAGAAGAAATTCGTCTGCGCGAGTTGCTCGCAACCAAGGAAGGTCTCAAGTGATTGGCCGCTGCCTGCGCTCGCTGTATACAACGAGAGTCGTCAGAACTGGGATCACTAACCGGCGAAAAGAGAAAGAGACATGGTACGATTGTGTCCACGCCGTCTCCGTCTCCCGGCCCGTTATGGGAGATGCCGAAAAACCAGAACTCACCAAACAGTTCAACGAGGGCTACAAAACCTGAGGGAGGGTGTAGAGGGGTGTAGAGTGTAGAGCGCTGTAGAGCTGTAGAGCTGTAGAGCGCTGGAGAGCGCTGTAGAGCTGTAGAGCTCTACATCCGCCGCGTGACGATGTGAGTCGCCTGTAGGCGGGCTCGCACTTCCTGCGCCACCGCGACCGTTACTACCGGCGCGATGTCCGGATGCAGACGTTGGACAACTCCCTGGAGCGGCCGGCGAGGCGGGCCGGGGCCAACGTGGGGCGGCGCGCCCAGTGCCCCGCAACCCCGCGCACGTTTTTGAACGAGCACTCCTGTCGGCGGGAGCCGAGCTGCGCGGCGCACATGCGAACTCGCAGGTCCGGGTCTCTTGCCACATGACTATCTGATGTTGGAGTCTTCCAATAGGCTCCGCGCTGGTCAAGCGTGCCGCTCACGCTCAACGCAAGCACGCTCCAGATGTTCTACACCGAGGGATCGGTGATGGTGTACGCCGTCGTCGACATGCCGCTCAACCCCAGCCGCTGCCACCCGACACATGGCTGCTACGAGTCGCCGTGCGGCGCAGAGGGCAACGGCCAGTACGGCGAGGGGGAGACCGCGATGGCGTGGGTGGTTGCGGGCTCGAACCGCCCTCAGGATTGGATGCGATCGCGCTGGCTGCGCCTCGAGTCGTGCGCTGGCGACGACAGCCCGACGGCGCTCGACAATTCCACGGAGGCTTGTCTCTCCGCCGCGATCCGCTATGCGGGCACCGCCGAGGGGCGCGCAAAGTTTCTCGAGACCGACACGCGCCTGTGGTACATGGCCGACCCGAGCAACCCGGACGTGCGCGACGTGTACGTGGACAAGAGCGCGTGCGACGCGTGCGTCGCGACCAACACGACGGTCGGCGCCATCGTCGACGATCGCAACGGCAGCTGCTGGCGGCAGGTCCACCCCCTCGAGCGTACAATTTTTGACTTTGGGTACTTGTCGATGGCGTACGGCCCCAGCGACCCTATGCCAAACCCGTTTGTCGCGGTCGGCGCGAACGGCTCGGCATTCATCCGACTGCAAGATGCGCTACGCACTAAGGACTACATCCACGACTTCGCCAAGGCCATTGTCTATGGCGAGGCCGGAGACCGCCGGTTTGGGACCAAAACGGGGAGCGATCCCGAGGCCTACCTGCAAGGCAGCATGTGGGTCGGTGTCCTCGGCGACGCGACCGATTTCTCGGCGCTGCCGTCCATCAGCCAGTCCGCGTCCGTAGCCCTGGCGCTCGGGGCGGTCAGGGAGGCGGCGACGGTAGCCGACGGCCCCGTGGTTTGCGGCTCTCCCGGAGAGGTGGCGGCGGTTCCTGAGCTCGGAAATCACTTCTTCTTTCAGAGCCTGCTCGGCTTCTACGTGAAATGGGGGAACGCAGACCTGTACCGTCCCTACTACACGCCCGGCTGGATGACGACTATCTCCCCGTCGAAGCTGGCAGCGCATACGAGCGTGGTGCTCAGCGCGCCCGACCAGCTGCGCCAGCGCGTGGCGTGGGCGCTCTCGCAGCAGTTTGTGATCTCGATCGAGAACGGCGACCTCGATCGCGGCAACACCATCAACATACACGACATCTGGCTCGCGTACTACGACATCTTTGTGCGCCACGCCTTTGGGAGGTTCCGCGACGTCTTCAAAGAGGTCGCGCACTCGCACGCCACCCCACAACAGCATCGCACCCCACAGACGTATACGACCCCCTCCCACCCCGACCTCAGGTGGCGTACCACCCGGCGATGGCAACTTACTTGACCTTCATCGGCTCGCGGTGCCACTCTTACCGGCTGCAGGTCGCCGACGAGAACTTCGCGCGCGAGTCCCTCCAGCTCTTCACGATCGGGCTCTGGAAGCTGAATGGGGACGGCACGCCCGTGCTCGACGACGCGGGCGCGAGGGTGCCGACCTACACTGAGCGCGACCTATTCTCGTTCGCGCGCGTGTGGACCGGCTTCGAGCAGCAGGCACGCTCAAAGCCCCGACCCATCCCACTTTGCCCCTGATTCTTACCGTAACCCCGACCCCATACCAAACGCAGCCGTTCCGTGCAAACCTCGAGATGGGCGGTGGGCTCCGGTGGAGTACCAATCTGATCGACCCCATGCGGCTCAACGGCAAGTACCGTGACGTCTTCCCAAAGCACGACCTCTTTGGCGGGCACCTCGGCGACAGGCTCAACTCCTCGCTCTTGTAGTCCTCTCCTCTGGCCTCCCCGGCCCGGCACCCTCGCGGACGACTCACCTCTAGCTCACCTTCTTTTGCGGCAACTAGGTACCCGCTGTGCGCCGATCTGCCCGACAAAGCGTGGCTGCGCAAGGGCGCGACGTACCGCTACCTCGGCACGCGGCCCGCGCCGCTCGGCCTCTCCGAGCCCATCTACACCAGTAATTCCGGATTGGAGCCCATCTACGGGAGCTGGTGGATCGGCGACCGACCTGATACGATCCTCACACCGGACGCGACGCACTCGCAGCTGTTTGACGCGCTGTGCGCGCGCGGCTCCGACGGGGCGTGCACCTTCCCGATGGAGGTGGTCCTGCCCCAGCACCTCGCGTGCCACGACGCGCCGACGATCTTGTTCACCGAGTACGACGTTTACAACCAGCCCGTGGTCATGAATCGCTCAAACGAGTGCGAGGTCGAGGAGCCGCGCGTCATCCGCCTCATCGACCCCTCGAGCGGCGCGGTCGCATTCTACGAGTACGAGCGGCCGGCGTGCACCGAGCTCACCTTCTTCAACAACGGGAGGCAGGTGCAGCGACCCAACAACCGGCTCGGTCCTGACTTGCTGTGCTCCGACCCGGCGACGATTGGCGCGGCCACGTCCTGCTGCAAGGCGTCGCACATCAACGCCTACTCGGAGTGCCAGTTCTTCGGCGAGCGCGTAAAGTACTCGACCGCCGTCGAGAGGTGTGCGATCGGATCCGAACACCCATACTACAAACCCGGTGAGTTTGACCTGGCCCGCGCCTCCGAGCTGTTTCGGGAGGCAGTCACGGCGCAAGAGGCGACGCTAGGCCCGCAGGTTTGCGACATGGCAGTGCACAATGCCTACAGAGGTGTCACACCTAGTGAAGGCTGCGCCAGCGGCAATGCAAGCTGCTGCACCCCCGGCCCGGGCTGCACTTCGATCCGCGGGACCAGTTACTGTGGTAACTTAAAGCACGAGATCTGGCTCGGCACGCCGTGCGAGCTGCAGATACAGGTCAACCCAGCGCACGGCGAGATCTCGACCCACGCGCCCGAGCTTCTGCACATGATCCCGTATCGACTCGGATCATGCTCGGACCCGACCCAGCTGTACGGCCTCGACTCGGGCAATACGTTCCGCGTGCACTGGGCGGGCGGGAGCTACCCCACCCCGCCTGAGTGCGCGGCCGCCTCCGCCTGCACGGTGCACAGCTCGAGTATGGGCGTGTCCTCGTGCGTGTGCGCGGTGCACGTCGTCACGTCCGCCGTCTATGACGCGAGCGACGGCGTGCCGAGCGCCGCCGAGGTGGAGGCAGCGCTGACGATCGCCGCGCCGCCGCTCGAGATGTACGACCCCAGCGAGTACCAGCCCTGCAACTCGACAGCATGCACCGAAGCGGCACCCGACGTGCTCGTGTTCCTGCACAACACGAGCTTCGCGACGGGCGGCTTCAACGAGCAGACGGTCTTCCGGATCGTCCTCAACGGCACGCGGCACGTCTACCTGCTCAACAGGCTGTCGACGGTGGAGGTGCCTGGCACGAACTTCTCGTTCCGCAACCCGCCGCACTTCATGCGCTGGGCAGAGCAGTCGACGCGCGACGCGCAGCACGAGACCGACGCGCTGATCGACTCGCTCGTCTACCACCAGAACACGCCGGCCCACACGGCGACGCGGCTCATACAGAAGCTGGTCACGTCCAACCCGTCGCCGCGGTACGTCAAGCGCGTCGCTGACGCATTCCGCACCGGCACGTGCGCCGGCCACGTGTACTCCGGCTCGTATGGCGACCTGGGCGCGACGGTCGCGTGCGCCCTCCTCGACCGCGAGGCACGGTCGACGACGCTCGACGCCTCTCCGACACACGGCCACCTGCGCGAGCCCTTCCTGCAAGTGATGAACGTGCTGCGCTCGCTCGAGTTCGCCTCGAAGGACGGTCGGCAGGTGCAGATCCTCCACATGGCCTCGTTCGGGCAGGAGCCCTTCCGGGCGCCTTCCATTTTCGGGTTCTACTCGCCCGAGTATCGCGCGGCTGGTGCCGTTGTTCAGTCACGGCAGCTGTCACCGGAGGCGGAGGTGACCGCACAGGGCGACTACTACATCGCGAAGTTCAACGGCCTCTTCTCGCTTGTCGAGTACGGGCTATCCGGGTGCAAGGGCGGCTTCGGAATCCCCATTCGTGATGCTCTGTGCGATAACTACAAGGGCTCAGCACATGCGGTCGACCACGCAGGGCAGCTCTCGTGGCGCCCGAGCTCCACGCACGGCCCCGATGTGGTCGACGAGCTCGCCCTGCTGCTCACGGGGGGCAGGCTGGGAGCGAACACTCGCGCGGTCGTCCTCAGCGCTTACGAGGAGGAGGCGTCGGCGAGGGGGCACACATCCGCGCTCAAGCTGGCTGAGAAGCTCGTGCTCGCCTCCGCCGATTTCCACGCTACCAACGCCAACGCCTTGCCGCCGCTCCCCCCGTCGCCGCCGTCGCTCCCGTCGCTACCGCCATCAGACCCGCCCCCGCGGCTCCCACCCCGCTTGCCGCCAACACCACCGCCCTCGCCAGCACCGTCCTCGCCGCCAACAACACCGCCCACATCACCTCTTCCACCCTCTTGGAGCATATACGGGGAGGCATCGGGCGACCGGTGCAGTTCATCTGACTGGGTGATGCACTGGCTCGGGCCACAGAGCGTCGACGAGTGCTCTCGCACGTGCGCGTTGTACAATGGGGAATTCTACCCGTACTTCATGCATGCAACCAACGGAGACAACAATTGCAAGTGCTACAGCACTTGCACGCTGCTGGGCTCTGCCAGCGGGGGTCTGATGGTGTATCAGCAGGCGACACCGCAGCCCTCACAGTTTGTCAAATCGGATCTCGGCGCTGAACAAGGTGTAGCGCCAAGATGCCCAGATGGATACGAGCGGATCACCTCCTCCGAAGAGTGCGAGGCAGCTGCCGGCGCCTTACAACTTACCTGGGACGATGAGGGCCATTGGACCGCGTTTCCTCAGGCGTGCTGGATAAAGTGGCCTTATAACACCGTCCACTTCAACCTGAACCTGGACGAAGATGAAATTGACTGTGTGTCCAACAGACATTGCAGAGGGGCCAGCACCATCTGCAAGCGCACGCAACTGTCACCCCCTCCATTAAGCCCATTGCCCCCGGCCGCACCTCCCCTCCCCCCGGCCGCACCTCCCCCCAGCTCGCCGCACGCCAGCCCGCCGCCCGCCAGCCCGCCGCCCGCATCGCCTCTCGGCGGCGACGATTACAAGGCGGTCATTGTGATCGAAGCCTTCGGCGGCCTCGACACTTTCAACATGCTCATGCCGCACTCTCTCTGCGACGCGGCCGCCGGAGGCTACGACGAGTACCTCCAGGCGCGCGGGGGGCTGTTCACCGAAGCGGAAGACAGCGGCGTTGGGCTCAGGCAGGACGCCCTCCAACAGATCGCTGCAAACGCGAGCGCGAAGCGGCAGCCGTGCGACGTAATGGGGCTGCACCCAAAGCTGGTGAAGACAAAGGCGATGTATGAGAGTGGAGACGCGGCGGCATACGCCAACATCGGCGCGCTCGTCGAGCACCTTACGCCCGACGAGTTCTTCGGCCTCATAAAAGCGAAAAGGGACACTCCCAATGCGCTCTTCTCGCACAACAAACAGCAGGACTTTATGCAGACGCTCTCAAACAATCAGTTTGAGCCGGGCATACTCGGGAAGGTGATGAGCGCGCTCGACACCCCGGCGTGCGACGCGCAGGGCAACGCGAGCGCCGGCAGCGGCCGCACGTCGTACAAGACCGGGCTGTACGCCATGTCTGGTGGCATGCCGCGAGCAATGACAGGAGGGCCCAGCCTCGCGGTCGCCATCGACTCGAGGCAAGGCGACATCCGCCGGCTTTCGGAGTACGAGCAGCTCTGGCGCCACATCGAGGACATGACGGCCGCGCCCTCGCGCTCGGTCTTCGCCGAGACGCACTCGCGCGTGCTGGGGCGGGCGATCCAGGACGCGGAGACACTCGGCGATGCGATTGACGCGGCAACAACAACGACGACCTTCAACGACTGCTGCGATCTTGGCGGGGGTTGCGGCTGTACATTTGCAATGAAGCTGCGCACCGTCGCGCGCGTCATCAAGGCGCGCAGCGCGACGGGCGTGCAGCGCGCGGCCTTCTGGATGGGGACGAGGGGTGTCGACGCGCACGCGTCGATGGACTCTCCGGGCGACGGCATAATGTCGATGATCGACAACTCGGTCGACGACTTCCGGAAGGAGATGGTGGCGCAGGGGTTGTGGGACAAGGTGACCGTCATCACCCTCTCCGAGTTCGGAAGGACGATCATCGGTAACGGGCGGGGGACAACGCACGCGTGGGGCGGGAACCATCTGATATACGGCGGTGCGGTCAACGGCGGCCGGATCCTAGGGCAGTACCCGTCGAGGCTCGGCCCCGAAGGCGAGCGCACGCGCAACGACCGCGGCACGATCATCCCGACCGAGCCGTGGGAGAGCATGTGGCAGCCGATCGCGCAGTGGATGGGGGTCGCACCGTGCGACCTGCCAAAAGTGATGCCACACTTGCGCAACTTCCCGGTCGCGGGAGAGGGGCGAGTGCTGAGGGTGGAAGATGTGTACGAGGCGTGAGCCCCACTCTCCCCACCTCCCGCACAGCCCCCTTCGCCACTCCCGCCGCCCCCACCCCCCGCACAGCCTCCCTCTTTGCCGCCGACAGCCGTGCCCACCGCCGTGCCCACTGCCGTGCCCACCGCCGCTGCCCCCACCTCGCCGCCACCGCCTGCTCCTCCGCCACCAGCACCCCCGCCGCCGCCGCCCACGCCGCCGCCACCCTCGCCACCGCCTCCAACACCTTCGCCGCCACCGCCTGCTACCCCACCCCCGTCGCCGTCACCGCCTCCACCATCGCCATCGCCGCGGTACACACAAGACAACAACAAATACCCTATGGTGCCGGCTGCGCTGTGAGCAGGGCCGCCCTGTGGTGCCTGGGCGCCGTGCGTGCTGACTGGCGAATAGAATGGGGGAGACGGGGGCTCCCCGAGGCGTCCAGGCATACTAGGCCTCTAGTAGGCAACCAGGGAGACTATACAGGCCTGCAGAGCCAAAAAATACATATTGCGGTTCGTTCGCGGTTCGTTCGCAGTTCAGACGAACTTCCCTGGTTTCCTCGCCCTGCGGGTGTGAAGCGGGGGGGGGGGGGGGGGGAGAAAAGAAAAGGCTCGAGTTCACGAACTAGTTCGAGGGTTCGGGCACCCAAGGGCGAACGACCGAACCGATGCAGCGAACCAAGGGGATGCCGTCCAGAGCGAACTCCGAAACCGAACGAATCGCGAGTTCACCGAACCAGTTCACGAACCAGTTCGCCAGTTCGCCGGCGAACTCGAAGGGCTGAGCTGGGTGAGGAATCCTGCCCGGAGGCTGAGTGCGTGGAAAGGGGACGGGCAGAATCAGATCGAGTAGGCAGAACCGGAAAAGGAGAGTGAGAATCAGAAGAAACGGACACGAATCCCTCTCGAGCCTCCGCATACAGAATCCTGTCTTGGGTGGCAGAATCGCTAGTGCAGAATCCTCAGGCGTGGACAGGGTTCTCCAAGACTGACTTAATCGGGAAGTCGGTAGTATGAGCGAGTATGAGTCTGGCTGGTATGAGTGCCGGGGCCCCGTTTCCGCACTGCTGCCACGGTGCTGCGCGGCGCACGGTGCCTCCGGGGGCCCCGCCTCCCCCCAGAGCAGCGATCGAGGAGTGAGAGAAACGAGAACTTCGCGTCCCCTGTGTGAATGGAAAATGCGGGGAAAGACTTGTCTGTGGGGGCTCGTCCAAAGAGCGGGTTAGATATGTTATGTCTTATGAATCCCTCAAACAACCGAGACCGTGGGTGAAAAGCCCTAAGTAACGCCTATAACCGGCGAAAAGAGAAAGAGACGCGGGCCGCGGCTCTGTTTTTGCCCGGCCGCGCGCAGCGCTAATCGGGCGTCCTTTGCTCCTCCGCGAGATATAGGGGCTGTAAAAAGGACGGGTCGGCTGCAAAAATGCAAAAAGGACGGAGGCCTCGTTCGAATGGCGCGCAGCGCCGGCGCGCAGCGCCACGCCGCCAGGCGTCCGCCGGAGACTTCTGCTGCGGCCACACTCCGGCAAGCTTGCCGCGCGCAGCGCCCCGCGCCGCAGGCCCGCCGGAGGCTCCCCGGCCGACACACCCCGGCTGCTCTCGCGGGCGCTGGAGCGCCGGCGCGCAGCGCCACGCCGCCAGGCGTCCGCCGGAGGCTCTCGCTGCGGCCACACCCCGGCAAGCTTGCCGCGCGCAGCGCCCCGCGCCGCAGGCCCGCCGGAGGCTCCCCGGCCGACACATCCTGTCGGTCTTTCAAACGCGGCGGAGCGCTCGACGATCTGGGGCCCCCACTATCTCCTCTGCGACGACGTCTCCAGCCGAAAGCTCTTGGCTCGAGCTTCACCACCTAGTTCCGTCGCCGACCGCCCGCTCGCGCCGAACCGATTTCGGCCGCCAGCCGCTGCCGCCTTTCGGTGGGGGCACACGCACCCCCCCCCCCCCCTCCCTCCCGCCGCGCCCGAGGCGGCGCCGAGGCCGGCGCCTTGCACCCGGCCCGCGGCCGGCACCGCCTCGTCCCACCACTGACCGCCCTGCGGCCCCTGCGCAGGCGTGCCACAGTCGTCGCTCAAAAGCGACGGCCGGGTGTGGGCTGCTCCCTTGCCCCGTCACCCGCCGCGCCCTCGCCCGGCCGCCTCACCGCGCACGGAGCGCTCGCTGCTCGCCGCCGCCGCCGCGCGTCCCCGCGCCGCCACGCTTGCCCTTGCCTTGACGCGCTCTGCGCCAGAGCGCGCGTCTCTGGCAGACGGAGCAGCGTCCGCGCCAGCGGTCGCTGCTCCGCCCCTCTGTCGCGCGCGCAGCGCGCGCGCTGCCGCCGCCGCCGCCGCCGCCCCCTCCTCGCCGTCTTACCCTCCGTGGGGTGTGTGCTGCGCGCGTGCGCGCGCGCGCAGCGCACGGCAGCGTCCCCACCCCTACCCTCCGTCGCACGCTCGCGCGCGCCACGCCGCACGCGCACAGGCCACACAGGCGACAGACACAGGGCGCTGCGCCCTGCGGCCTGGGCGCCTGCGCGGTGCGCGCCCCCGCCCGCCGCCCCCGCCCCCGCCCCCGCTCCCAAGCGCCCCTTCCGCGGTGTGTCTCGTGTAGAGAGAATATGTGATTATGTGAGACCCTGTGTGGCTGTGCGTGTGGGTGTGCGTAGCAAGTCGTGGAAGATCGGTGCGCCCCCCGCCGGCGCCTCCGCTGCGCGCTGCCGGAGCCGCCGTGTCGCGTGTGTGCGACACATATAGCTGTGGCGCAAGTTTGTGTTTGAGACTTTGAGAGTGAGTGAGAGCCTCTAACTATCAAAGAATAAAAGATGAGAGAGAGAGAGAGATTTTTATTAACCAAACAACTCTAACAGATGAGTTTGTCGTAGCGGCTAAAAAGAAAGAAAAAGAAAACAGACAACCCAAGAGAGGGATGGGAGGACGGCACGCCGCCACCACACAGGGATTTTAAGGAGAGGAGTGTGGTGCGCTAGCCGTCGCCCACCCTAGGGAGTCTGCCTCTTCCTATCTCTCTTCGCAGTCTTCTCTCGCCGCTTCTCGCTGCAACCTTCATGCCACCTCGCGGTCGTCCCACTCTCGTCGTTCTCTCCCTTGTCATTTCCTCCTCTGTCGCGTCGTTCTCTTCTGCCTCGTAGCGGCTGTTAGGGACCCGTTAGTTCGTTTGCTTTTTCTTTCCGAGACCCGCACACCTAGCGAGCAAGCGGCACAGCAAAGACGTGTGCGGATGCAGATCGAGCACGAGGAGGAGAGCCGAATGCAGATCGACGATGAGGAGAGCTGCGCGCTCGGCGCCACATCCTCGCCGCAGCCGTCGGACGCCAGCGCCACCCTCGCCACTGCGGCGCCCGCCCGATTCGACGTGACGCCCGCCGCCGCTGAATCTCCCGACGAGTCGCTTCCGGACCTACTTCAGCAGCACGCTGCAAATTTGCTGCAGCAGTTGGACGCTGAGGGGGAGATTCCAGACGGCCTCCCCGTCAAGGTTGGAAGGGACACGCCATCGGTGTGCTGCTGCTCTGCCGCCCCGCTCGTACACCTCCCGCCGCCACATATCAAACTGCTCATGCCCGCTCCCCATCCCAACAGTGTATCGATGCCGCGCTCGAGCACGAGCGCACTAAGGAGCCGCTCGGATCGATCCTCCGTCGGCGCGGGTCCCTTGACAAAAACACGCGGCATGTCACAAAGTGGCTGCCTGCGGTGCGGAGGCTGCTTGAGTGCGGCGTGCTGCATTTTGGCCCCGTCGGACCGACTGCGGAGCAGGCTGCGCTGCGAGAGCGGTACGCCGAGCTGGTCACGCAGTCGCGCCGCGCTCTCGTAGAGGCGAAGCTGCCTCGGCGTCGCGGAAACGGCGGCGACGTCAACGGCTCGCGGCCGTTCTTGGACTGCTTCGAGCCCGCACTCACCGCCGCCGTCCGCTTTCGAGCGGGCGACGCGAGCTCCGCAGAGCAGGCGGCTGCCGACTGCGGCGTCACGAAGGGGGCGGTGCTCTTCTGGGACGAGCAGCTAGAGTGGGCGGCAGACCCGGCTAAGCGGCAGCGCGTCTTCGCAGTGCCGCAGCCCTCTCGGGACGCGGCTGGCGAGCCGAGCGGCGTCGAGGCGAGCGGCGGCGGCGAGGCGAGCGGCGGCGGCCCGCCTGCCGCTGGAGCTGGAGATGCGGCTGGCGAGCCGAGCGGCGGCGAGGCGAGCGGCGGCGGCCCGCTTGCGGCTGGAGCTGGAGATGCGGCTGGCGAGCCGGCCGGGCTGCGCGATGAGGGGCAGCAGCTGCGCGAGGAGGTGCAGCGGCTGCACGCAGAGGTGCAGCGGCTGCGCGCAGAGGGGCAGCGCTCTGAGTCGCTCTCGAGCGAGCTCGAGAAGCTGCAGCTCCTCCCACGGCCAGGGCCGCCGCCCGGGCTCCCCCGCTGGAGGTTTGGGCCCGATACCGTTTGGGACCGGCCGGTCCGGAAGCACTGCAGCGAGATTGCCCTCGGAACGTTGGAGTTCGGCGCCGGGATCGTGACCTTTGAGCGGGACGAGATTCGATGGACCTTCTCCATGCCGGAATCCCACTCGTCTCACTGCTTCCCGTGGCCCTCGTGGACGCTGAAGCTGAGGACTGCAAGTCTCTGCTCCGCGTCCGCGAGCGACATCGACTTCGACCTCTCCCTGCGCGGCTTTGTGGACGTGCCGTTGGACTTGCGAGGCTACGACCTTTCCTGGGAGTTGTGCCGTTTTGCTCCCAGGACGTCGCCGACCACTTCAATCGGCACGTCCATCGCCGACCACTACGACCCCTTCTCCCAGCCCGGTGCGCGGCACTCCGCTATGCGACCAGCGCGCCAGCACACGCGACCCGCCCCTTCCGACGCTCCTTTCCTGTTGTTGCGCAGGCTCGGCCAAGAGCTACATCCGCCTCCGGTTCGACAGCAGCAACGACCGCCTCGAGGCGCTCGAGGCTGTGCCGAGGATTCGCGAAATTCTCCGACTAACAATTATGACGGACGACTGTGGCGGCTACTATTGGGGGCCCTTCCACCCGCGCGCGCAAGATGAGCCGTGGATGGCCGCAGAGCGAGAGAGGCGCGGACGGAGAGACGAGCGGTACGACCCGGCAGCGGTAGCGCGTTTGTGGGAGGAGGGCGAGAGGGCCAGAGAGGAAGCGGGAGAGGCAAGCGCAGCCGCGGCGTCGCAGCCGGCAGCGTCACCGCGGCAGGGCGCGGAGCCGGAGAGGCAAGCGCTGTCGGCCTTCTTCGACTATCCGGCAGCGCAAGCTCTCGCCGGCTGTCAGGCCTCGTGGAACCCAGCTGGGGTCTAGCTGTGTCCTGTGATCCGTCGAACTTTTATGTACGTAAAAGAGGAATGCAGAACATCGGCCAGGGGAGGGACGACGCGGCCAGAAAGAGGTTAGCGTTTGTTGTTGATGTTGTCTTAATTTCCAGCAACGACGAACGAGCAAGCAAACCCTGCCTAGACCGAGTTCGAGTACAGCTAAATAAACCTAAAGAGACCCACCGGGGGCTCCCCACCTTCGTGTGAGGGCCCGTGAACATCTTCAGCTTGAGAGAGAGAGAGTTTTGAAAACCAACAAGAAATCGCGACGGCTCACCCTCTACCTACCTACCTAGCAACACAAACAAACTCTCTCTCCTACCTAGCTAGCCAGCGCGAACTCGCCGTCTGAGCCTAGCGCAGCGCGAACTCGCTCTGAGCCTAGCGCAGCGCGAACCCGCGCACATAAAAGCTTTTGCGCAGCAACCCGCGGCCGGGCAACCCGCACCCGAACTTATTCTTGCTGCACATCGCTCTCGCGAGAACGAGTCCGAGGATAGCTGCTCGGCAGCATTCCCAGGAAACGCACACCGCTTCCTTCCGTCGCCGACCCACCGGCAGATGTGTCGCCCCTTCCCGCCGTCAGCGCCGAGCCCGCTCAGCTCGCGCGCGCGGCTGCCGCGGCCAAACTCGCTGGCCAAGATAGATGAGTCGCAGACGGCGTCGCCAAAGGAGCTGCAGCAAGGCCTAGACGCGGTGGGCAGCGGCACAGACTCTCCAGATGTGCGCCGCTCTTCCGGGCTGCAGTCGCTGACCAACGACTCGTCCTCCTGGGCGCCCGGCCAGCACGCCTCTGCGCTCCCGACGGGAGTCTTCACGCCGCAGACGCTTGTCTACATCCTGGTGTGGTATGTGACGGGCGCGCTGACCAACTCGACGTCCAAACAGTCGCTCCAGCAGTTTGAGAAGGGGCGCGCGCCGTGGATGTCGCTGACGCTGATGCAGCACGTGTGTGCGACCGCCGCTGGCACCTTTGCGCTGCGTGTCGCGGGGCTCCGGTGCGGCCTCCCTGCCGGCCTCCGGCCTCCCTGACGCGCGCTCCCAGCCGCGCGGGCCTCCCAGCTTGCGGGCCTCCCAGCTGCGCGGGCCTCCGCCCGTGCCGCCGGCCGCTGACGGGCGCGCGTGCTTCTGTGCCGCAGGAGGTACAAGGAGCTGCCCGCCTCTGCGCAGACGTGGGGCTTCTACCGCATGGTGCTCGTCTACTCGCTCGGCTTTTGCATGACGAACGGCGCGTTCGGCGCCGTCAACGCCTCCTTTGTCGACACGGTCAAGGCGGGCGAGCCGCTCGCGACGATGCTGCTCACGGTGCTCTTTCTCTCCGACGCGCCGCCCGTGACGCTGCCCATCTTCCTCTCGCTCCTTCCCATCGTGGGCGGCGTCTCCATCTCGGCGATGGCCGAGGTGCGCCGCGCGCCGCGCCGCGCCGCGCAGGCGCCCGCCGTGCTGCGCTCCACCGGCGCAGCCCCGCCCGCAGGCGAGCTTTTCGTGGGTCGGCTTCAGCCTCGCGCTGGGATCCAACATTTGCAACGCCGCCCGCTCCATCTGCGCCAAGATGCTCAAGACAGAGCTGGGGCGCAACATGGACAACGCCTCGCTCTTCCTGCACGTAAACTACTACGGCGTGCTGCTGCTGCTGCCGGCGGTCCTCTTCTTCGAGGGGCCGATCCTGGTCTCGCTCTTCCGCGCTGGCGGCAAGCCGGCGCGGCTGTTTTGCCTCAACGGCCTGCTCTACTACATCAACAATCAGATGAACTTTCTCGTCCTCGAGAAGGCTCGTCCGCCCCGCCCCTCGCCGCTCCCCCGCCCCACCGCCCGCCACCCGCCCTGCTCCTCCTCCGCCGACAGGTCGACGCCGTGACGCACGGACTCATCAACTGCGGCCGGCGCGTAGCAAACATTGGCTTTGCCATCGTCTGGTTCGGCATCCCGGTCACCATGTACAATGGGCTGGGCATCGGCCTCGCACTGCTGGGCGCCTTCTTGTACATGAAGGCCAAGCAGATGTCCGTCCCGAGTAGGGCGACGCCTTCTGCCAGGACAGCCGCCAGCAAGGCGCAGTGAGGTGGCGGCGCTCGGCCTGCGGGCCGCCAGTTCGCGGCCCGCCTCGCTGGCTCTTCCCCGGCCTCTCCTGGGGGAGCGCTGTAACATTGTATTCGCCGCAGAGCGGCGGTACCGGCTTAGCCTCGCCCTTTCGCCCCACCCTTTTCTTGTCCGCTTGCACCGCACTGCAGCAGTCTTCTTGTGCGAGCGGCATGTGCATGCCCGCGCCCAGCCTCTCCCGCCCCTCGCTCGGCGCCCGCTCGCTGTGGGTCCCCGGTTTAGTACGTACCGAAGTCCGGCGCTGTGTGGGTGCCGTCTGGGCTGCGAGAAGGGAGAGAGAGAGAAGAGATGTGTGGGTGACTTGTAGGTGTTCCGTCTAACATACAGCACACAGGTCCGTGTGCGGGGGGCGTTTAGTATATGTCTATGTGACAACGAACGGAGCCGCGCGCGGGTGTACGCCGATCGCCGCACGCGACATACGCGCGGGCGGCGCTTATAGAGAGGGGGTTAGCGGCGCGAATAGCAATAGGAATTACCGCGAGGCGCGCCGCGCGCGGGCGGGGCGCCGCCGCCGGCGCGCGGCCCGGCCCGCCGGCCCGGGCGCGGCGCCCCTAGCGGCGGCGGACGAGGGCGCTCTCGTGAGCGGCTCGAAGAGGTGTGCGCAGTGGGGCGCACGAAAATGACAACAACAATAACACACGTGAGAACGAGGTGTTTTTGTGACAGTTCGAGACGATCAGCATATCGGGACGAGCACGAGGCGCGACGCGTGCCTTGCCTGTGGACACGTTCTAGGCTTGCGCATAGGCCGGCCAGGCCGGCGTGCGCAGCACGGGCCGCGCTTCCGATCATGAAATCAGTCCCCCGCCACTGCCCACCCCTCTCCATGTCATGTCCATCTCTCACAGACTGCGAGCGTTCACGGAACATCGCACTCGTCGCTCTCGGGGTGCCACGCGCAGTCGGACTGCATGGTCGCGAGCATGGCTTCGGGCGCGCGACTGAGCGCCTCGGCCGAAACGGGTTGTAAGGGCCAGTCCCCGCCAGAGCTGAGGACATCCAAGGCCCCTTGGACGGCGGCAGGTGCTGCGGCGCTGAGCGACGGGTCCGTCGCCAAGGAGGCAGCAGAGCTGCCGATGGGCGCGAGGGTACACTCCTCCCCTTGCTCGCACGCGTCCTCGCACTGCTCCGGCTCCGCCGTGGCCCAAAAGCACGGATCGCTCGCAAACTCCTCTCCGTTCCCTGAAGCGGAAAGTGAGGCCTGCGTCGCGGTGCTATCGATGGTGGGGACGGCTGAGTTCCACCAGTCCTCGTAGAGGTATGCAGGTATGGGCGGGCGGAATTTGACAGAAGGGCCCAGAGTTATCGCGAGCACGGGCAGGGCACATACTGAGAGCAAGAGCATGGGACGACTCTGGGGAGTGGAGATCGCAGGAGATATGATGAGCGTGTTTTTATTTTTAAGAGAAATTCCGCTTGGGCTTAATTTGGTACGAGTATCTCACACAGACGGACCAAACCGTCCGACATCAAGCGCCCATGCCGCATGCATGCAGGCGCCTGCTTCATCCATGACATTCTGGTGTGTGCACTATTCGTGGCGTCGTGTCGCCAGCGAGATGTCCAGGACCCACTCGAGAGGTTTTCCCCTTCCTCCCTGCGGCCGGCCACGACCCCATGGCGGCACCGAGCCTCCACAAGACTGCCCAATCGAGCACTGCCCAAGCGATCGCCAGCAGCAGCCCGGAGCCCGCGCAGAGCGAGAACGAGGCCGGAAGTGGGCAGCTCCAAGGACACGGAGACGAGCAGCTCTGCCAGTGCTCACTCACCATCTCCACATGCCTGGCGGCTCCAGCGAGGAGGAATAAGCTCGCAGAGGCAACCACCGCGCGGAGAAAGCTGGATGCCGCCTCGGCGTCGTCGTTGCCCCGCGTCCGCCTTCGCCTCCGCACATGGCGAGGCCGAGGGATACACGCAGCTAGCACCGTTCCACGTCTCGCTCACGCTGAGAAAAAATCTGAAACGGCGTGCAGCAGAGTCACCGACGAGTCGGTCCGCGTGACTCCTCGTGTCCCGTACCGTTCTCACACATCCATAAACTCACTTTGGCCTCACTGAAGCGATGCCTCAATCCTGAATCCTCAGATTTTAGATTAGGACGCTGTGGGCCCTCTAACACGGGCCTCGAGACACGGGCAGGAGCCCCACGGCGACACCACACACCCCTGGGGAGTCGACTCGCATCGATCGGTTGCCACCTTACATCTGGTTAGTGGTTACCTCCATGAACGGCGAGCGTTTACTTTTTGTCGCCGTCGCCAAAACATCTGTCGATGATCCAGTCCGACTCCGAGCCTCCCTGCTGACCGTTTAGCGTTTTCGGACCGTTACCTTCACGGAGCGTCGCCGTGGCCGCGTTCTGGTCTGCCCACGCCATTCTAAAACGTCTAGGACGAGCTCAGAGGCTAAGGGCGCATCCTGTGGGACCATCTAGCTCTAGTTTACTGGGTCCGCGGAGGCGGTCGTCGGGCTCGGCGCACCCCCGTCTCGAACGTGTGTGCTCTCTGTCTGTCTCTGTCCCAGCTGTTTCGGCTAAGTCGTTTTGTACCGGATTTCAATGCTAGTGGCAAAACCGCGGAACGAAAATTGGCGTTTAATTTCGCGCACCTGCTGTCGAGCGGTGATCTCACCGATTCTCGCAAGATGCGCCCGCCCGCCGCCGGTCAGTCGTCGAAATAATCCTCCCCGGCGGCGTAGTCCGCTGCCGCGCTGTACTGGCCGTGCCCCGAGTACCGCGCCTGACAGGTAAGGGAAGGAACACTTCTCCACACACACACGAGGTGGTGGGGCGAGGGCCAAGCTCGGCCCTCGCGACTCGACATCTAACGTATGAGTGTGTGCGTGCGTGCGTGCGTGCGTGCGTGCGTGTGAGTGCGCCTGCATCTGATCGTAGAGCTGCTGCCGTGGCGCCGCCGCGCCGCCGTGCCCCGCGCCGCCGTAGCCACCGTAGCTGGTGCGGCGGCTTGGGCTGCCTCGCCGCCCCGGGCTGCCGCGCTGCGACGCACCGCCCGCGCCGCCGCTGCGCCGCTCGGGCTTGCGGCGGCACTGGAAGTAGACGGAGGCGAGGACGACACCCGCCGCGACGAGGGCGTGCGGCCACCACGGCTGGGCGGGCGGGGAGTAGCCGAGCCCGCTGCGAAAGTGGGCGACGCGCCTGAGGGGGGCGTGTGTCTCGGACGTGTCGTGGACGTGTCGTGGACAGTGCCCATACACGAACAGAGGACGACGCGCCTGAGGGGGGCATGTCTCGGACATGTCGTGGACGTGTCGCGGACGTGTGCATGCCGTCCCACTGCGAGAATTGCGAAATTGGGCGGCGCGCGCGCCCCGCGCGAGCGATCACGACGAGAGAGCCGGCCGCCTGTTCACACCCGCCAGCTGTGAAGAGGAGGCGCGCCCCGCGCGAACGATCGCGACGAGAGAACCAGCCGCCTCCACATGCGTGTTCTGGGTCCAAGGTGGATCATCGTGGCCGCCGTCCCCGTCGTGCAAAGCACCGGCGAGCGGCTGGGAGTGCGCGACTTGGGAGAGCGAGGCGGGCGCGCCGCCGTACATGCCGCTCACGTTGTAGACGACAAGCCGCCGCGCCGCCGCGAGCAGCAGGTGCCTATGCTGTAGCTGGTCGTTAATGAATTGGTGTGCAGCACTGAGCCGCCGCCGCGAGCAGCAGGCGCCCCCTCACGGCGGCCAAACCGACCCCTCCCGCCCCCGCCCCTACCCCCGCCCCTACCCCCGCCCCTGCCCCCGCCCCTACCCCCGCCCCTGCCCCTGCCCCCGCCCCTGCCCCCGCCCCCGTCGCCATCGCGCGGGGCAGCGACTCGAGGAACACACAGCTGGCCTTGCGTGGCCTAAGGAGTCCAAAACACGTACATCAGCAACTAGCGACGCGAGGTACGCACAGCCGGCCTCGCGATGCCGCGAGGCGGAGGAGGCGTCGGCGACGCGGCCGCGCGTGTTGAAGGCGTGCACAGTCCCCTCCCTCGTCGCGGCAAAGAGCAGGCCTAATTAGTGCGCCCAATCGGTTGAATACTCCTTCGTTCGACTGCTGCTGTGTCGCGGCGAAGAGCAGACCGGGCAGGACGGCGTCGAAGGCGAGGGCGCCTAGGAGAAGGCTCCGAGAAGGCTCCGGGAAGGCTCCTGCAAGGGTGCGGAAGAGGTTGCGTCGAAGGCGAGGGCGCCGATGGCACTGTCCGGCGGTAGCGGGCATTCGCGCACAGTGGCAGGCGACGAAGCGGCGGCGATGCCTGTTCACGGACGGCGGGTGTGAAGAGACGCTGTTCACACTCACGGCTGCGGCGACGAAGCGGCGGCGATGCCGACCACCAGGAGCTGGTCGGGCGCTGCGAGTGCGAGAGCGGTGGCGGAGTGCGCGACGGCGGAGAGGCGAGAGAGGCCTACGTCGGAGAGATGCGGAGAGGTGGGGAGAGGTGGGGAGAGGTGGGGTGAGATGCGGTGAGAGAGGGGAGAGACAGAGAGAGATGGAGATATACAGAGAGATATGGAGAGATATGGCGGCAAGGCGAGAGAGGCTTGTGAGGTGAATGCGCCAACATGAGGGCGGGAGGACGGTCTCGTGCAGAGTATTCAGAGCACCCACGGAGCCCGTTGAGGGCTACAGTTGAACACGGCCAAAGACAGCGGGATAGGGTGTGTCCTCTTGAGCTTCTAGGGAGAGAGGCCGGTAGGTAAGGACATGGCGGAGCCGCCTGCTAACAAACAATGCAAATCAACGTCCATGAACTAACGGAGGAGCTCATTAGTAGGTGTGGACGTGGCTGGGCCTGCTGCCTCGGGGATGAGGGCCACCTATTCGTTACTTCACTCCTCTGCGCCTAGTGGTTGTCCAATCAACGCCTGCTCCCGCGGCGGCCAGGCCCACCTGCCCGTCCGAGCGGCACGCGACTAGAGACCCTCCTCCTCCCCCTCCCCCTCCTCCTCCCCCTCCTCCTCCTCCTCCTCCCCCTCCTCCCCCTCCTCCCCCTCCTCCTCCTCCTCCTTGCAGCCTGGTGGCGCTCCCGCGCTGCCCGCCCCTCGTCGCTGCCGCCGGCGCCGGGAACAGGGCGACCACGCGCCTAGTGGAGATTGACGGAGATTGATGAAAGAAGGGAGAGGAAGGAAGATTGAAGAGAGGAAGGGAGAGGAAGGGAGAGGAAGGGAGAGGAAGGGAGTACTAACAGAGCGACCACGCGCCCGCCGTCTGCCGGGTCGCCGCCACGTTCGCTCACTGCCAGAGACGACGACGCCGACACCGCCTCCTCCGCCTCCGCCGCCACCGCCGCCGCCGGCTTGGGAGGTGACCACGACACGTTCTGCGCGGCATCCAGCCGGAGGACGAGCGGGAGGGAGGCCTAACGGTGCTCAGTGACGAACCAATGGGAGAGCTAATTGATGAGTAGGCGTCTGGCGTCGGGCGAGCGGGAGGAATGCCTAATCAGTTGTTAGCCAAAGGGGTAGTTGATGGAGTAGACAAGAGGCCGGTCGGCTAGCGAAGCCTCCTCCTCCTCTGACGCCTCGGGCGGAGGGGCGAGGCGGTACGAGTGCAGCAGGAAGGCGCCTGTGAGTTGATTAATCAACGAATTGACAAGTTGGTGACTCGGTGAGGCGGTGCGAGGGCGCCTGTGATTGAAGGAGCGGGAACGAGAGCAGTCAGAAGGGGCGAATGGGGCGGTACGAGAGCAGCAGGAAGGCGCCTTCCAGCGGCGATGGCATGGCCGCCCAGAGCCACACGGGGCCTGGCCCACCTGTTCACGGCTGGAGGCGTGAAGAGACGCTGCCCACACCTCGCATCATGTTGGCCCACCTGTTCACGGCTGGAGGCGTGAAGAGACGCTGCATGGCCGCCCAGTTTTGGCGCACGCGCTCTCCCGCCCGCGCTGAAGGAGAGGGCCTATTCAACACATCCTCCAGCGTTGGCGCGTGCCTCTACCACACCGCACTCTGCGGCCGCGCGTCAGCAGCTGCCTCGGCAGCGGCTGGCAGTTCTACGGGCGGGGCAAGAGGCCTCCCGTCGGCGCCGCGCAGGAGGAGCCTGAGGACAGACGGCCAGCGGTGCAGAAAGAGCACGGGCAAGAGGATGGACCAAGAGCGGTGTGTGTGGCAGTCCACGGGTCTGTGCGGCGACGCAAGATGATCGACCCAGCGCAGTGTGTGGTGGGGAGGCAATCACTGCAGTGTGTGGTGTGGTGGCAATCACTGGTGATACGAGCGGATACACTGTGGGTACATGTCTGAGGAAACCTGCCGCCGACGCCGGCGGCGACGAAGCGCGGCGTCTCGGAGGCGGGCGCCGAGCGCCGCGACGCACCCGCGGGCGAGAAGCCGCGCGAGATGGCGACGGCGGTCACCTCGTCCTCGTGCGCCTCCGTGTGCAAGCGAGAGAGCTGCGCCGCGCTGAGCCGGGCGGCGCCAGCCTCCTGCGCCGGCTCCACACGCGCTGCAACCGGCGAGGGAGGAGTGACGCTGGTCACAATCTGGCCCGCAGCCGTATCTGTGGCGACATCAGCCGTGTTGGATGCGGGCTGCTTGCCGGGAAGGCGTGCCGCAGCCTCCAGCGCTGCGACACGGAGCTCGACGGCCTCCAGCGCTGCACGCAGCGTTCGGATCTCCTCCTCGGCGGCAGAGCACGTGTCGCGATCCTTGTTGCGGCCGAAGGAGAAGCCCATGGCGGGATCTATAGTGTTGGTTTGGGGTTGGCTACAGTGGAGAGCAATGGCACATCGGGAAAGAAACACTTGGCGTAAGAAAAACACGAGGTGTGGTGGCGGGAGGGTGAACCCCCTGCCCAGCCCCCCTCCGTGTCGCGATGCGCTCCCCGCTCCCGTTCCCCTGTGTCCCTGATCGTCCTACAAGATCCTGCTCGTGCAGGTGGGGACCCTGTCCTTCTCCCACCCCTCGTTTGGCGTGTGCCCAGTGTTGTGAGAGAGAGTTTTGTTGTAAAATTCTTCGCGTAAATTCTTTTTTCTGACGATATCTACCCTTATAAGTCTCTCGTGTCGGCGCCGACGCTCTTGGTTTAACCGTAGAACGTCCCAGCCGAAATCCGCCCGCCACGGATCGATCAGTCCACAATCGTCGGCCCGCAGCGACCCGCAGCGATGGATGCCGCCGCCCCCCCGGCCCCTGCGGCTGACGCGCCGATGCACGACCGGCCTCCGTCGGATGGCTCTCCGGCCTCTCCGGCCGCTGACGCGGCCGCCCATGCTGCTGCCGATCCGGTCCCTCTCACGCTCAGCGATATCCGCACAAGCTACGACAACTTCGAGGTCGCCGGCTTTGGCCAGGTGCCCACCACCTGCTTGCCTCCATGTTCACGCTTCGCGCCCCTTCCCCCCCTCTGACGCCGCCGTATGACCGTAGGTGAGGGGCCCGACTACCCGCCTGGAAGGCGCTCTCATCAGCAAGTCACCCAGGCACCAACTCCTGGGCGTTTACGCTTGACTACGAAACCATGCAGTGGATGCAGCTCGATCAAAACGGCGACGCCAACAGCTGGTCCCTGGGTGAGTTCCTCGCCCAGGATGAGGTGCGAGTCATGATGCTCGACCCAGCGTGCACCAAGTCGCTCACATTCCGTGAGTTCGTCAACGGGCCGAACACACTCTCCAAGTCGACTGCGATCTCGAACTCCGACAACTGGACCGGTGCACCATGCGGAGGACGATGGCTCCCTCGACGACATCCCTTCATCGACGGACGCCTTCACCGCCGCCGGCCCTGGGCCATCCAGCGCGGCCTCCGACGGCCTGCACGTGATCGAGCGGGTACAGAAACGGTGGCTGCCGCAGCTCACACCCTAATCGATCTGCCTTAGGCACGGAGCCAACGAAGCCATCGCGCATGCCCGCATCGCGTGCGGCTCCGAGGTCTCCCGCCGAGACCGGCTCGGCGCGGCGCGTGGCCGCACGCCGCCGTTGAAAAGGCGATAGGAGAGGGGAGAGCGCCGGCCACATCGAGCGAGCGCTGACGTGTAAGGTGTCTGTGCTGCTCCGGTGTGTGTGGGATTCTGCCTCCCCCCCCATCAGTGCGGCGAGTTGTTTGCGGCGCGATGCCCGATCGTGTGCGATAGCCTCCATTGGCATTGTGCGTGGTGTGTCGGTGTGTCGGGGTCGTCCGGAGCGTGTGGCGGCGCCGTTGCATGCAGCGACTGCTCCACGTGCCACGAACGTGACTGACTGATGAGTGCCACGACTGCTTTGACTGACGTGACTGACTGATGTGTGATGAGAAATGAGTGCTGATGGATGATCTCCGACAACCCAAAACCAAAATGCAAATGCGGAGTGGCCCACTTTGGCGTGCAGATCCTGCGTCTCTCACTGCCCGAACAACAGAGACGGGTACCGCCGCAGGTCCCACACTAGTGTTTATATATGCCGCGCTCTCCAGCGGACAGCGCGGCCAGCGCTCTCCACGTCGACGCCGAGCTCGCGGTGATTGGCTCCGGCCCAGCTGCCCTCGCCTTGCTTGCTCGGCTCGCTCGCGACGATCCGTCCAGCGCGCTGCTGCACTCCACTCTCGTGATTGATCCGTCCGGAGCGTTTTGCACGGCATGGGCCGCAAAGCTGCGCTCTCAGGGCGTGTCGCACCTGCGCTCGCCCACCTTTGTGCACCCGCACCCGTCGCGGCGGCTCGACGACGCGCTGCACGGCTACGCCGCCGCACACGGCCGCCTGCGCGAGCTGCGTCCGATTGAGGGCGTCGAGCGACAGTGGCAGGCGCCGTCCTCGCGCCTTTTCGAGGACTTTTGCGAGGACCTGGCTGCGGATCTGAGGGGAGGAAAGGAGGACGAGCGGCTCGCGGGCTGCCACGTTGCCGCCGCCGCCACCGACATCGTCCCGCTTTTCCGTGACTCTGCTCTGCCGTGGGCCTTTGACATTGCGTTGGACATCAACCTCAGCAGCTGCAGCGACGGTGGCGGCGGCGGCAGCCAAGGCAGCGGCGGCCACTGCAGTAAGGACGGTGGTGGCGGCGGCAGCCAAGGCGGCGGCGCCCACCGCCGAAGCCTGCGAGCGAGGCGAGTCGTGCTTGCGGTCGGCGACGGGGGCATCCCTCGGCATCCCGACTGGGTCGAGGAGGCGGGAGCTATCCCTGAACCTTCCGCGAACCTTCCTGGAGCTGTCTCTCGGGGACCACTCGGGGCCTTCCTGCAGGCGTCGCGCTCGCTCGGCTCCGCGCCATCCCCGCAGCCGGCCGCCCGCTCCACGCTGCTGCACGCCTCTGCCCTTGCCTCCGCGCTAGCCGACGAGCTCGCTACCACCCCGCGGCGCTGCTCTGCTCCCACCCTCCGCGGCGAGAGGAGCGGCGGCTTCGCCTCCTTTCTGTCACGGAGGCGACGGTGGCGCGACGTTGAGACGTCGGCGGCGTCGGCGGCGACGGGGGCGGCGGCGGCGGCGGCGGTGGCTGCCGCGGTTGTGGCTCCGGCGGCGGTGGCGGGAGGAGGGCTTCCCTCTCCGTCGACAAAGGCGATACGGTTGCCCTTTGTCTCGCTGCTGCTGCTGCTGCTACTGCTGCTGCTGCTGCTGCTGCTGCTGCTGCCTCTTCCTTCTCCGCTCCGCCGCTGCAGCGGAAGCGAGCCTCAACGCCCTCGCGGGACGGGCCGGTTGGTCGTGGTCGGCGGGGGCTTGAGCGCCGCGCAGCTGGCCGCGTTTGCCTGCCGGCTCGGCTGGCGTTCAGTGACCCTAGTGTCCCGATCGGAGCTGACGGTGCGGCCGTTCGACGTGGGCGGTGGCTGGGTCGCGTCGTTGCTGTCGCCGGAGCTGGGGGCGGAGGAGGCGGCTTTCTTCGCCGCGCCACCAGAGGAGAGGCTCTGGCAGCTGCGAGAGGCGAGACCGGGCGGCTCGCTTACGCCCGAGGCGAGGCGGCGGCTGGCGGAGATGGAGCTTCGGGGCGCCGGCCGCGTCCTCGAGCGCGCAGAGGTGCGCCGCGCCAGCTGGCGGCCAAAGGCAGCGGAGTGGGAGGTTTGTGTTTGCGCCGCCGCTGACAGCCAGGGCGGCGGCGGCGAGGGCGGCGGCGGCCAGGGCGGCGGCAGCGGCCAGGGCGGCGGCGAGGGCGGCGGCGGCGGTGGCGAGATTTGCGAGACTATCGGCGCGGATGCCATCTGGCTTGGGACGGGCAACGTGTTGGACGTGGATCGCCTCGGCCTCCTCTCGTCGGTCCGCCGCGTCTCGCCGGGCAGCGCGCACGGCGGGCTTCCCGAGCTGACTCCTTCCTTGCAGTGGGCGGACGGCTGGCAGCTCTACGTCGCGGGGGCGCTCAGCGCGCTGCAGATCGGGCCCGAGGCGTTCAACCTCGCAGGCGCGGGCGCTTGCGCGGCCCGCATCGTTGAAAGGTTGCTCGAGGACGAGCGGGTCACGAGCGGGCGGTGCCGGCACGCGCGCTGGACGCCGCCGTCGCAGCGGGAGCACTAGACGTACTTTACGAACGACTAGGTAGGTTTTTCTTACATGGGGGTTCTATCCTTCTCTCCCAGTCCGTAGGCTTGCGTTGCCGTTGGGATATTGATTGTTGCCTCAACCTCTGTGCATCCGGTTTGTGTCAGTTTCATCTCCGGCAACGTCGGCTGTACTAGTATACTAAGAGAGAGGTAAGGGTTTGCGTAAACTTCTCTCTGTCCACCGCACAACACCTGACAGCTTGACACAACTGCCGCCACAGGCGTCGTTGGCGCACTTACTGAGCGGCAGCTGTGCTGGAAAAACAAGGAAGAGGCGCGTTACTTCATGCGGAAGCTCGACAAACACACACAGCAAAAGAGTCGAACGGGCGGCGCCTGACTCAAAAGACACAGCCACATTCCGGTGGGGCATCCCTCACACTGCCCCCGTCACCCGGCCTCTAGTAGCTCCACGCCTGATCCTACACTCCTGCCCATCGCGCCCCGACTATCTCGCACAGCCACGAGGGGCCTCCCGTCTCGCCACCTGAACAGCTTCATCGCAGCAGTCACGAGGAGCGCGCGAGATCTCAACCTGCCATTTGCCCCTTCGCGCTCGGAAAGCCGCGCGAGCACCGCCTGCTGCTGCTCCCGCCGGATCGTCGCGCCGCTCGCCGCGTGGTCCTCAAGCGCCCGCTCAAAAGTGCTCCGGAAGACCCACTCGAACTCGGCCAGCATCTGCGGCACCATCACCTGGTCCGCCTTGCCCGTGAACTTTGCCTTCTCGATCGCGCGGCACGCCTCGTCGAGCACCTCCCTTGGCGACAGGGAGCTCTCGCGCGCCATCGGCGCCGCCCCCCCGATGTCATACACCTTTGCACGGGCCGCCTGCGCCTTCCGGAAGCGCTCTGGCAGCGCTTTGCCCTTCTCCGCCGCCTGCCTCTCCGCCGCCGTCAGGTGCGCCAGCACCGTCATGGCCGTCCCCTGCTCAAAGATGCACCAGCCCCGGCCGCCATCGCCCTCGTACGGCGTTGGGTTGTACGCCCCAACGCCGGTAAGCGCGCCGGGAGGCAGGACCATGTCGCGCTGCTGAATGACAGAGGTGCCGGTCACGCTCGCGTAGGAAGGACCCCATCACTTCGAGGCCCCTGTTGAAGATTCGCTTCTCCTCCTCTGTTCTAGCCTCCCCGTTCGGCCCTCGCTGCGGCAAGCTGGCAAAGTCCCAGAAGAGCCCCGCCTCGCCAGCCGCCGCCGTGTCAAAGAGGAGGAAGCGTCGGACGGCGGCGAGGGTAGTGCCGTGAGGGTCCGGGTGCAGAGCCGTCAGCCAGCCATGGGAGAGGGAGAGGATCGAGCGGTCGCCACGCAGGAGCATGGCAGCCGCCTCGTCGCACGGCACCACACACACACACACACAGAGAGAGAGAGAGAGAGAGAGAGGGAGAGAGAGAGAGAGAGAGAGAGAGAGAGAGAGAGAGAGAGATACAGAGAGAGAGCTAAAAGACAAACAAAGGGTCCAGACACACACAAGAAAGAAATGCGTAAGCGCCGAGAACACTGATGACATAGACTGATGAAAAAGGAACGCGCCCCCGCTCGTGAGCGGAGCTCCAAAAACCTCCCACCGGAGTGCCCGCCGCGTTTTGCCAAGGTCCTCGTTCCCACTCCTCGCCCACGCAGCAGCTGGCCTCGACGTACCGCATCGCCGAGCCTCTACCAGCATTCTCCCTCACCTTCAGGCTACACACACAGATGTCCGAGCCTCAGCCGGAAACGCCGCACAACCCTCTTCTTCAGGCTGCGGACGCACCGTCTGCAGCAGCCCTGCAAGGCATCGAGTCGCCGGGCGGTGCAACGACGCACAGAGCAGCAAGAAAAGCTGCTGCGGCACGCTTGGCTCGGCAGAGGCACAAGGGTTTTATCAATAGCCTGGAAGGTGCGATCTCGGCGAGGCGGCGTCGGATCCATGTGCTCAAGCGGAGAAAGGAGGACTACGCGGCGACAGCGGCCGCGCACATGATACGCGGCCTCCAGGCCCACCTGGACCCCGACCGGAGCCTGATGCTGGAGCGATGGCTCCGGCGCTCGCCTACGCTGGCGGCAGCGCTCCGAATGCCGACGGACGAGGCGTGGTTGCGGCAGCTCGAGCAGGCCGAGCAGGCCGCAGCGGGCGCATCGGACGAGCCGCCCAAAAAGCGGGGTGCGTCGGCGAAGGCTGCGGCTGCCGACACGAGCCTGGATGAGGCGCTCGCGCAGCAAGCCTTCCTCGAGGAGACGCTGGCGGCGGAGGACGAGGCGGGCTGCAGCAGCGACGAGGAGGAAGGGTGTGTGGTATCGATGGATGTCGACCTCGAGTGGCTGCTGCCGAGCCCGCGCTGGGTCGTCGCCGGCGACGAGGATGAGGAGCTCGAGCTCGAGGAGATTGAGCTCGAGCCGGCGCTCGAGTGGGTCTCTCTTGACGACACGTACGGCGACGGGCTGTCGGCGCTGTTGCAGCACTTGCTGGCACAGCGGCGGCCGAGCGTCAAGGCGCCTCCTTAGCCCGGCCGCTGCCTCCTCTCCTCTCCCCTCTCCTTCCTCTCCCCCTCGCCTACCTCTCAGCCCCCACCCGAACCTCAGGCGTGGTTGCAGCTGCGCGAGGAGATGCCGCACGATGACAGCGGCAAATGGACTGACCTCGCGACGCTTGAGGAGGATTTTGTGCTTATCAACACCGAGCACCTAACCGACGCGGCCTGCGCGGTGCAGCGGCGCTACAGCGCTCCATCGTCGATCGTGCAGCCTGCCTCGCCAGCCGTGCAGACGGTCTAATTAGCTCTTAGCATCGTCTAGCTCCAGGACGTCGCCAGGAACCACACGCACGTGTGCGTGTGTCGCTGCGGCAGCGAACCCGGTAGGTACCCGCGTTTCCCGAGCCACGCCCACGGAAGACGGATGCGAGACCGAGAGACTGACGAGAGCGTGTCCACAGAGGGCTCACTTCTACGTTCTACCTTTTCTACAGCTCTCCCGACCCGAGGCGAAGCAGTCACAGCCAAAAAGGTGCGGAGACGCACTGTCCGTGCGCGGGTGTCTCTGTGTGAGGTGTGTCTGTGAGCAAGTGTGTGAGCGCTCGCCGGGTGCCGGCACCAACTTGGAACTTGATTCCCGGATGCGCGTCTCCCCCTCCCCCTATGATAGGGCCTATGTGCCGCCACCCCCCTCCAATCCGTAATTCCGTAAAATCGTAATTCCGTAAAATCGCGCGAAAAGCGGCGCCCTAAACGGGCTGGAAAGCGGCCCCCAGCCGCATGGGAGCGTGCCCTAGCTAGCGGGCGGCGTTAGACGTACTTTTCCGGCGTGAACTAATGACTTTCGGCGACGTCCGTTCCCTTGGACACGTCGACACATGGCACCGACGCAGCTCAGCATTGTGCTGGAGCGCCTGCTCAACGAACTCGGGATAGCCGACCTCAGTACGTTCGAGGCTGAGTGCTCGACGCGATCCGAAGCACCGCTGCAGCCGCAGAGGCTGGTGCGGCGGCTTATGCCAGCTCGGCCACGAGCAATGTTGTTGTGTGCCCAACCGGCACTGCTACCGCTGGCGCAATCTCTGTTCAGCACATGGGGCAGCATCTCCCGCACTCTCGTCAGCACCCAGACGCGCAAACCACGCTAAAGGGCTCAGACATCCATGCAGCCGCGAGTAGTGCGACTGCTGAGATGCTGCCCCGGCAGGAGTTGGAAGAGAAGTTGCGGTCACAGACCAAGGAGCTCGCTTCTGAGCAGCGCTCTGCGAGCGCTGTGAAGAGAGGGCACTCGCGTCGGCGCGGGATGAGCTTGCTGCGGCACAAGAGCTGAGGCGCTCCGACTGCGACAACCTGAGGAGAGCGCAGCAGGCTGCTAAACGCGACATCAAAGCGGCCGAGCGGATGGCCGACCAGGCAAATCATGCAGCTCGAACTGAGTGTGAGTGGCGTATCGGTGAGATGCGGGCCAAGATGCAGGCCGAGCTGCGCGAGCAGCTCGACGCGCTGCAGATTTCGATGGAGGCAGAGGCGAGGCGCGCTGATGCCGCAGAGGCGGAGAGGTCAAGGCTGTACGACAAGATGGAGGGGATTATGCGCACGCGTGAGGGGTTCATAGACGCACTCGCAGAGGCGCAGCGCAAGCGCCGCGAACATAGTTAATACGTAGCGTTACAGTCGTACGGTCGTCGACCCTCCCACCGTGTGGGCCGCCCGGACCCCGGAGAGCTGCACGAGCGCGTGCAGACAGCGTTGCGCGAGCATTGGAGAGGCCAGCCTCCGGCTTCTCAGCGTGTCGCGAGTGCTGGATCTCTGTCTGCCTGGTAGAGAGCTGGGTGTGATGCTGATGGGGGGCGCTCTGGTGGCCTTGCTTACAAATTTACGGATTTACGGATTTACGGATCCACCCCTCTCCCTCCCCGTCCCGTGACCCGGCCGTGAGACGCGCATCCGGGAATCAAGTTGGCGCCGGGTGGACGGTGCGTTTTTGACGCGTAATTTTGTGCGACGTCTGTGCGCGCCCCCCCGCGCGCCGTCGCCGGCACTGTGCACAGTGCACTGTGTGGGCTGCTGTGTCAGGGTTGAGAGGATTTTACGTTCCTCGACTTTCTCCAGTTGCGAGTAGTTGCAAAAAGTCTACGGCCCTGTCAGTGTCTGAGCCCCAAAACCGCGGATCGCAGGCTGATCGCTCTCGCTGTCGCGCACTTGGCCAGCTGTGCGTCTCGCTAGAGCTTAAACTTGACTCGTTCGTCCGCGTCGAGCGATGCGTACAGGGCGTAAACCTCGTCGGCAGAGCGGAACGTACACCGCAGCGTGACCGACCGGAAGCGCCCCTTGTCTCGCCATCGCACCTCGACGGGCCTGGCAGGGGCGGCCGCCTCGGCGAGCTTCTGCATATCCGCCACAAAGCCGTCGTCCCCCACCGTCTCGCCGATCGCCTTGATGTCCATCCGGGCGGGATAGTCGACGAGCGTACGCAGGGAGCCGGTGCCGTCCAGATTCGGCATCTCGGCGCGCACGCAGAGGTGGCGGCAGAGGTGGCGCGGGCGATGCGCTCGCAGGGCGGCGGCGGCGGCGGGGCGCGCCGCTGGCAGCGGACGCAGCGCCAGCGGAACGAGGGCGAAGAGCAACGACATTGAGGCTCGCGCCGGGCTCGCGCCGAGCGCGCGGGTCTGCTCCGCGGGGAGCCGGGTTTCTTTTCGGTCACTTTACGGGAAAGGATTAAAGAACAATGCCGCCAGCGGAGCAGAAGAATAGGAGCAGAAGAATAGGAATCGCAGCATGCGCGGGTCAAGGCTTCAAAAAGAGGCATCCACGGGTCGCCGGCCATGTACGAGAATCCCATCCAATCTCCTTGAGCAACGAGGGAGAACAGACTTGGGAAAAAAAGCCCGGCATAACCCGCGAAAAGCTGTCGTTGGCTGTCGTTGGCGCCGCTGTCGTTGGCGCTGCTGCTCGGCAAGCGGCATGAGCGCCCTGTACCTGCTTGGCTTCCGAGACGATGAGCGTGGCACCGAGGAAGTCACGTCCTCCGAGGGAAAGACCATCCTCTCGCATAAGAAGGCGGCCCGGCCCGCAGCTGCGCGCGACCAGCCTGCGAGAAAGAACCCGTCGCCCAGCCCCCGCTTCTGTGTGCCCCCACTCTCAGGGTCTCGGCGTCCAGCCCGCCGATCTCATCCGGCTGTACGACCGGTGCGCTCGCCGCCGCCGTGATGCCCCGAACGCGTGGCGATCGCAGCCCCGTCGCTCCGCGCGCCCGCAGGAGGGACCACTACGTCGCCGTCGGTCGCGACGCCGACGCCATCGCGGCCTTCTACTTCCGCTCCTCCTCGGCGGTGCGGCACTGGAGCGACGGTGACGGCCGCACGCCCTACCTCGCCATCAACAAGAAGATGGCTGCCGAGGTGATGCGCGCCTGCCTGCTCGTCCAGCGGCGCCGGCTCGAGGTCTACTCGCTCGACGGCGCGCGGTGGGTGCTCTCGCGGCGCGGCTCGCCGGGCAACATCTCCGCCTTCGAGGAGGAGTGCCTCCGCGACGGCGAGCTCCCGCCCGACGCATCGACCACCATCGCCGCCGTCCGGCTCGGCCGGACCGCGGGATCAAAGGGATACTCGGGAAACGCTCGGCTGGTCGGCGTGTGCTTCGCGGACGGGGCGCGCGCTGCCCGCCCGCAGCCCGCGTCTCCCCCACCGTCCGCCTCTCCCCCACCGCCCGGAGCCTCCCTCTCCTCCGCACCCGCCCGCCTCTCCCTGCGCCCCTCGCCCCTCGCCTCCCACCTCCGCCTGGCCGCCCCTCGCCCCCTTCTGCTCGCCCGCAGGCGTCCCGCTCGCTCCGCACGTCCGAGTTCGAGGACGACGAGAACCTGTGCACGCTCGAGTCGCTGCTCTGCCAGCAGGGGACGCGCGAGGTCCTCCTGCCCGCCGAGCTCGAAGCCGCCGACCGCAAGGCCCTCCTCAACATGCTCGAGGCGACTAATTAATCAATCAATCAATCAATCAATTAGCCCTCCTCAACATGCTCGAGGCGACTAATTAATTAATCAATCAATCAATCAATCAATTAGCCCTCCTCAACATGCTCGAGGCGAGATATGGGGAGATATGGGGAGATATGGGGAGATATAGCCTCCTCAACATGCTCGAGGCGACCGACAGCCGACGCCCCCTCTCCCAACCTCTCTCCCCCCGCCCCACCCCTCTCTCCCGCCGCTCTGCGCCACCCCTCTCCCCGCGCGCCGAAGGTCTGCGAGGTTGCGGTGACCGACGCGCCGCGCGGCGCCTTTGCGCAAAAGCACGCCGAGCAGGACCTGCGCCGGCTGGTCGGCTCGGAGCAGCCTGTCCACGCGCGCGCCTTCGAGACGCAGCAGCAGCTGCCCGTCGGCTGCTTCAGCGCGCTGTGCCGCCACCTCGACCTGCCCTCCCTCACCGAGTCGCACGGCCAGTGGGGAATCGAGTGGGTGAACGCCACGTCGAGCGCGCACTTGGCCAGGCCCTCCGGGGACACACGCCTTGACACACACGCCCTGCCGTCTCTCTTGCCGCAGGTCGAGCCGCGGGAGTTTGTGAGACTCGACGCGTCGGCACTGCGCGCGCTCTCGGTCGAGCCGCAGCCCAACGAGGCGGACCGCAACGCGAGCCTGTACGGCATCTTTGCGAAGACCAAGACGGCGGGCGGCGGGCGGCTGCTGCGCAAGTGGCTCAAGCAGCCGCTGCTGTCGCCGCACGAGATAGAGCACCGCCTCGACCTCGTGCAGACCTTCGTCTCGTCCCTCGAGCTGCGCGCGACGCTGCGAGACACCTGCCTGCCCGCGATGGGCGCGCGAGCCGGCTCGAGCCGGCTGCGGCGGCCGGCCGCGTGCGCGCGACGCCGTTGCGGGTTGTGCCCCCTGGTAGGTGCGGACCTTGACCGGCTGCAGCGGCGCCTCTTCTCTGGCCGCGCGACGCTGCAGGACGTGGTGCTGCTCTACTCGCTGCTGGGCAGCCTGCCGCGGCTGCTGTCGGCGCTCGCGGGCGGCGGCTACGCCGAGGGCGGCGAGGGCGAGGGCGAGGTGGACGGGCACACGCTCGTGCAGTCCGCCTTCACCGAGCCGCTGCAGGTGGTGCACGAGAACTTCGAGCGGTACCGGCAGCTCGTGCACGCTGCGGTGGACCTCGAGGCGGCCGCGAGGCGCGAGCGCCGTTCTCCGACTGGCGCACGCCCCCGCACGCCCCCGACCGAGCTGCACCCGTGTCGCAGGCACGAGTACCTGATCCGGCCGCACTTTGACGAGGCGCGACGCCCGGGCCTCGGCCAGCCCCGCGGCGGTGAGAGGACGGCGTGTCCCTTCACGGACGCCGCTGTGAGCAGGAGCTCGCGGGGCTGGGCGCCTCGCGGGACGAGACGGTCGCCGAGATCGAGGCGGCGCACGAGGCGCTGTGCGAGCGGCTGGGCGTGGACGAGGGGCGCGTCAAGCTCGAGAAGGGGGCGCCGCACGGCTACCACTGCCGCGTCTCGCGCAAGGAGAACATGACTCACAACTCGCTAGTAGTGATCCACAAGACACGGCCACGCGGGCGAGGAGCACGGCCTAACCCCGCGGCTCCGCCCCCGACCGGCGCAGGACGAGAAGCTCATCCGCGACGCGGACGGGGTCAACGTGCTCGGCACCAAGAAGGACGGAGTCGCCTTCCGCGACAAGGCGCTCGACAAGCTGGCCGCGCGGTACAAGGAGCTGGCCGCGCACTACCAGACCGCGCAGGCCAGGCCACAGAGGCCGCTCTCTCGCCGGAGAGGAGCGCGTGCCCGTCTGATCCCTCCCGCTGTGTGCCCCCCTCCCCCCCCTCTCCCCGCCGCAGGGAACGCTGGTCACAAAGGTCGTCGACACCGCCGCCACGTTCTGCCCGCTCATCGCGGAGCTCGCCGGCCACCTGACGAAGCTCGACGTGCTCCTCGCCTTTGCCGCCGTCGCCGCGTCTGCGCCCGAGCCGTACGTGCGCCCGACGCTGCTCCCGCCCGAGGCGCCGCGCGCGCTGCGCATCGACGGCGCGCGCCACCCGTGCGTCGAGCGGATGGAGTCGGCCGGCGGGGGCACCGGCTCCTTCATCAAGAACGACGTCGCGCTCGGCGACCACGCGGCCGACGCCGAGGTCCCCTCGCTGCTGCTCGTCACCGGCCCAAACTGCGGCGGCAAGTCCACCTACATCCGCTCGGTCGGCGTGTGCGTGCTGCTCGCTCAGGTTGGCTGCTTCGTGCCGGCCGACGCGATGGAGTTCTCGCCGGTGGACGCGATCCTCGCGAGGGTCGGCGCGGGCGACATGCAGTCTCGCGGCGTCTCCACCTTCATGGCGGAGATGCTCGAGTCGGCAACCATCCTCCGCGCCGCCACCGCCTCCTCCCTCGTCATCATCGACGAGCTCGGCCGCGGCACCTCGACCTACGACGGCTACGGCCTCGCCACCGCCATCTGCTCGCAGCTCCTCGCGCGCCGCTCGCTCACGCTCTTCGCCACGCGCGCGCCCGCCGCCGCGCCGCCGCGCCTCGCACCGCACTCTCCTCAGCAGGAGAGCCCTCGCCGGTGCGTAGGCACTTTCACGAGCTGACGGCACTGGCCGACAGGGAGGCCGCCGTCGGCAACCGCCACGTCGCCGCGCACGTGGACGGCGACGACCTGACCCCGCTCTTCAAGGTGCAGCCCGGCCCGTCGGACCAGTCGTACGGTGTCGCCGTCGCCGCGTCGTGCGATTTCCCGTCCTCGGTGGTCGAGTCGGCCAAGCGGAAGCTCGCAGAGCTCGAGTCGGCCACGGTCGGCGGCGGTCCGGCCGCGGACGCCGCGGACGCCACGGCCAAGCGCGAGCGGCTAGCGAGCGTCACAGCGGAGGAGCGCGCGGCGGGGACGGCCGAGGTGCGGCGGCGGCTCTTTGACTTCGGCATGGACACGCCGCAGCTCTCCGAGTCGCTGCGCGCGTCCACCAACCCGTACGTGCGCGCGCTCCTCGAGGTGGCAACTGCGGAGGTTGCTGCCGAGGCGGGCGTGTGATCGCAATCGATGTCCCATCCACCAATAGGAGTGTTCACTGCTCACATACGGGTAGTTGGTCCTAGTAGTTCACTGCACGCGGGGTGACTGTGCGCGCTTGCGGCGTGTGGCGGGGCGAGCGGCGAGCGCGAGGGGCACCCATCCCCCCCGCCCCAGCGCGCCAGCCGCACGCGCCACAGCCGCCCGCGCACCCCCGGAGAGACACGAGCGAGGCGCCACGCGAGAGGTGGAGAGCCCGAGTATCGTATCGATCAAATTTTGTACTGGGTATGACGCGCCGTCTACGGACTACGCCAAAATGCTGCGCCGCGCCGGCCTCAACGCGATCCCAAACATGGTGCTCGAGCCGCGCCACATCAAGCTTCAAGGGGGTGTCGCGCCCACCTCGCAGCTCTGCGCGCCGCCGCAAAGGCCAAAGCGGGAGCACCTGCTGCTGCTCGCCAACCAGGAGGAGGTGCCCGCCGCCGTCGCCGAGCAGAGATTGCGCGGGTGCGGGTCTCTCTGACAAAATTGACATTAGGGTTGACACTGTGTTTTCGGCTCATGAAAATGTTGAGACACATGTCTGCACGTGTTTACGCAACTCTGAGTTTCGCGCCTGTCCTGCTTCGGTGTATTATGCTGGACTCTCAGGCCGTCAGGGAATACAGTATTGGGCCATCCCCACCGAGCACCGTACATCCCCCCATCCCCCAACCCCCCACCCACCCTCGCCGCCCGTCCCCACCGTCGCTGTGCGTCATGCTCCGCAACCGCAGGCTCTGTTGCTCTCTGCTGTGCTCGTGCGGCGGTCCCGACGGGCCCCGCGCCTAGCCTTGCCGCCCGGCCAGGGATGGAGAGGCTCACTAGTAGGAGCGCGCGATGCTGCGCTCCTCGCACACGGCCACCAGCTCAGGCTGCTCCTTGTTGTCCACGACGAGCAACTGCACGCGAGGGAAGGCGCGATGAGCATTGGTCAGGGGAGGGGCGAGTGGCGAGGGTGGCGTCTCGCGCCTTCAAGCTCGGGGCGGCCCCCTCCCTGAGGGCGGCGGCTAGCGCCTTGCAGCCCTCGTCGCCAATCTTGTTGCCCCACAGCTCGAGCCTCTCGAGCCGCGACGCTGCCCCCTCCTTGCCGAGGGCGGCGGCCAGCGCCTTGCAACCCTCGTCGCCAATCTTGTTGCCGCAGAGCTCAAGCTTCTCGAGCCGCGGCGCCGCCCCGCTCGCGAGGAGCTCCACCAGCTGCGCCGCCTTTGCGTCGCCCCAGCCGAGGAAGGCGTAGCTCAGCACGGTCGCCTTGCCAAACTGCGCCTTGAAGGCGTCCTCGTACAGCTGCTTCACGAGCGGCTTGTCGTCCTTGCCGTTGGTGAAGCTCTTCGTCTCCAGCTCCGCCGCGAACGCAGACGGCAGCAGCGGAGGGCGACGGCCGCCGTCCTGGGTGCAGTCCTCTCGGAGATCGAAGTAGTCGTTACTCCTCGCCGTCGCGCATCTTGCCGAGGTCGAGCGAGAGGTACCTGGCCTTAGTCAGGCTCGCCCAGGCGTTCTCGGTGGCGCACCAGCCGCGGTCAAAGTACTTGGCCACGTTGGTGCCCTCGGCCTGGTCCTCCGCCTTGTGGCAGTCCGGGAAGGAGGTCAGCCGCAGCACCCATGTCTTCGGGTGGGAGTAGAGCGTGCCGAGGCAGCCCAGCCCCTGCTTGAAGAGCGCGTTCTGCTCCTCGGTGCGCATAACGCCCTTGGCGGGGTCGGGGTGCTGGTGCAGCGAGCCGAAGTCCCAAAAGACGCCGAGCTGTGTGATGAAGGGGTGACTGAGCAGGGCCTTGAGCGCCCTTGCGACGCGGGAGAGGTTGGCTCCGCGCGGGTCGGGGTGGTCCTTGGTCAGCCACGGGTAGGAGAGCGTGGCGACGGGAAGCCCACCAGCACCCATGGTCGCCTCGACGAGGTCGGCGAGGGAGAGGAAGGCCTCTTTGGGCAGCGCCTGGCGGTGAGTCAGGACGCCGCCCGTCTCGGCGTGCGCTTGATGCTCCACTGCGCGTCGAGGAGGGAGAAGGCGCCGCTCGCGAGGACCGGCTCCACAGGTCGCCGCCGCCGTTCTTGCGCCACTGCTCCAGCTTTTCCTCGCTCACGCCGAGATCGGTGGCGGAGGGGAGGGCGGCGGCCGGCTGCGTTGGAGCGGCGGTGTCGGCGGGCGTCGGGACGTCGCGGCGGGTTGGAGGCAGGGCAGCGACTTCTCGAAGCAGGCGCGCATCGACTAACAGCAGTGAAACGGTCGCGACCCGGAGAGCGCCGTGGAGTTCATGCGAGGGACGCCCCCTCTTACCCCACCACCCCGCCCACTTTGTTTGTGTGTGGTCTAGGAGAGAAGTCCCCTTGCCCCACACACCACCTTGTGTGTGTGTGTGTGCGGGAGAAGTTTACCCTTGGTACCTTAAAGCCGTACAACAAGTGAACGATTGTCACTGAATACACAGGCCGCGCCGCCTGCCCGCCTCACACCCCCAACACCTCAACCTCCGCGCCCGCGTCTCCGTCTAGCGGAGCGGCCAGCGCTCCGCCGCCGCCTCCAAGCGACACCTCCACAAAGCCTCCCCCGCCGCCGCCGCCGCCACCGCCGCCGCCGCCGCCGCTGCGGCTGCCCTGCTGCGCAGACGGCTTGCGACCGCGTTGCCGCTGTCTGCTCGGGGTACCTGAAATGATGAGAATTGCAGTCAGTGAGTGCCGGCAATGAAGCAGTAGCAGCGAGCGACTGCAGAGGCCACAATGGAGGGGAATCAGCGGAACGTTTATGCCCTCTCGGGTGCTAGGCAGAGACCCTCTGTATGTTTTTGCTCCGCATCCAGGCCTCGAGATATGGGGAGATATGGCGAGATGGGGAGTCGGCATTCCGCAGCTAGGCTGGAGTGCCCCAGAAGCGCGCTCTCCACCAGCTGTGGCCCTTCGCCGCGTTGTTCCAGAGGTCGTGCAGCCCAAACAGCAGCAGGCCGAGCGACGCCACCTGGTTCACAGCTGGAGGTGTGAAGAGACGCCGTTCACAGGTCGTGCACAGCCCAAGCAGCAGCA